TATTAACTGCATCTCTAGAGCAACTGGGATTAAGTGCATTGCTCAAGGACACATTTTTTTACTTGTCGGCACCAGAACTCAAACCACCCACTTTCTGTTAACTGGACCAACGCTCTAACCTCAAGGCTATTTGCCACTGCAACTGTGTAGAGAAGGGTGCAATTGCAGCCCGCAATTTGGGCCGTTCCTACATGTGGGCATTCCTACATCTGCACGAACCCCTCTTTATTTGCTTCAACATAGAGACATGACTGAAGAGGAAGCGAGACATGCCACTCTCTCATTTTATTTCTGATTCAGTGGAAGTCAATGAGCTAAGCCAAAGAGATGGATAGAGGCCTCTAGTTGCCAAAAGGCAGTTTTAGCATGGACAGTGCCATTGAGGGCTTCCATGATTTTAATGTAGTAAACTGGGTGGGACTTCCTATGGGTTAAGGAAGGATCACATGATTCTATCTGGGTCGTCAGGAGGGATCAGGCAATGATCGGAGCATTGTGTAGGTAATCATTACATTGTACGTAAACATCCTGTATGTTTATTATTCCGAAAATGTCTGAAACCCTAGCTCTTCAAAGAGTATTAAATAAGATATCTCAGTCTTATCCCCCCCCCCCCCCCCCCCCCCCAAAAAAAAACAACAACAACATTGCATTTGTATTTTCCTGCTAGCACTGACTTTGCTGATAAATTCTTTATTGAGAAAAATGTACTTACTATGAATGTGATATGTGGTTGTCTCCCCTAGCTATCTTAAGATAAATGCACTGTAAGTCGCTCCAGAGCGTCTGCTTAATGACTAAAATGTAATGTGAAAATATGATTATTTATAGAAAGCTATATGAAGCAATATCCACCTGCCCTACTTAACCATGACCAAAAGTGTAACAAAAGTGAATGCCCTCTAGTAACCTCACAGGGAACACATTGTCAAGGTTATTGCAGAGGGTCCTCTTCATTGCACTCATCCGGTCCATCCTCTTCAGCTTCATCAATGGCAACATCTTTGTCAGTCTCCACTTCAGGCAAGACCTCCATCTAGAAAAAGCAATTTATTCAGACATATCAATAACTAACATTCAAATTGTCTCATATACACTGAGTGTACAAAACATTAAGAACACCTGTTATTTTCATGACATAGACTGACCATGTGAATCCAGGTGAAAGCTATGATCCCTTCTTGATGTCACTTGTTAAATCCACTTCAATTCCACTTGAGAAAATTGAGACATGGATTGTGTATGTGTGCCATTCAGGGGGTGAATGGGCAAGACAAAATATTTAAGTGCCTTTGAATGGGGTATGGTAGTAGGTGCCAGGCACACTGGTTTGTGTCAAGAACCGCAACAGTGCTGGGTTTTTCACGCTCAATAGTTTCCCGTGTGTATCAAGAATGGTCCACCACCCAAAGGACATCCAGCCAACTTGACACAACTGTGGGAAGCATTGGAGTCAAAATGGGCCAGCATCCCTATGGAACACTTTCGACACCTTGTAGAGTCCATGCCCCGACTAATTGAGTCTGTTCTGAGGGCAAAAGGGGGGGTGCAACTCAATATTAGGAATATTGTTTTGGGACAGTTTTACAAATTAATAAAAAATGAAAAGCTGAAATGTCTTGAGTAAATAAGTATTCAACCCCTTTGTTATGGCAAGCCTAAATAAGTTCAGGAGTAAAGATTTTCTTAACAAGTCAAACAATAAGTTGCATGGACTCACTCTGTGTCCAATAATAGTGTTTAACATGATTTTTGAATGACTACCTCATCTCTGTACCCCACACAATTGTCTGTAAGGTCCCTCAGTCGAGCAGTGAATTTCAAACACAGCTTCAACCACAAAGACCAGGGACATTTTCCAATGCCTTGCAAAAAAAATTAATAAAACAGACATTGAATATCCCTTTGAGCATGGTGAAGTTATTCATTACACTTTGGATGGTGTATCAATACACCCAGTCACTACGAAGATATAAGCGTCCATCCTAACTCAGTTGCTGGAGAGGAAGGCACTGTATAGTTATTATAGTAGTGGACTATTTGTGTTGACGATTTATTGTTTTATTTTCAATGCAATTTATTTCCATAATCCACTTTTTTTTATTGCATCACACAAACATTGTACAGAACAATGTACAAATATCACAAATAACAAACGACCAAGAAAAAGTCAATAAGAAAAACCAGAGAGACACAACAAAAGTATATTACACTATAGACAAGTTACATTTTGACAAATACTGTAGACACTTCTTACGGTTAGGGTTAGATTTAAAATGAGGGTTAAGGTAAGGGTTAGGGTTAAGTTTAGGGTTGGGATAAGGGTTAAGGTTAGAGTTAGAGCTACGGTTAAGGTTAGACTGTAGAGCATCTACAGATGGACTGTCAAAATAAGTGTTACCAAGAATAATCTGAGTAAGTCAATGAATAAGCTGATCTATCCACTAAAAAACATATATATAACCCCCCCCCCCCCCCCAAAAAAAAACAACAACAACAACAACAACATATCTAATCACTTATTTTCTCCTGTTTAGCCAATAGTGGTTTAGCTAAATTGTTATAGAAACGATGTAGGCCTTATTACCTTTTTAACCATTGTAGCACAGTTTCTATGTTCATAAGGCCAATAAGAAAATGTAAAATGACTTGAATAGCCTATGGGAAAAGTGTACAAATGTGTAATCGCATCAGTAGGTTGTGACTGAAATGCATCAGAAAATGATTGGAAAGTTCAGGAAAACATCAGGGAAGCTCATCAGGTAGGCTATAGGCCTAATGTGTGTGTGGAGAAGATCTGCATTGCTTTAAATTGCTAGACTAATGATTATGAGCACTCACCTCCACTTAGCTAACATTTCCCAGCCTAATTGTAACCAAATATCCAAAGGGAGAGTCAGTGAAAACAAAAATCTGACATTGATTGATTGGTCAAGACGAGTTCCCATGCTTTTCTCAAAGCAGGGCAATGGCGCTGTGCCAATCAAAACGGTGCTGAAATTATAGTTGACCACAAACGGCGATTACTTTACATTTATTAGAACGGTTGGATTACTTTGGGAGTTTCACGTAACCACGGCTATGAACTAAGCGGCGCATTCAGTTGACTACAATTTTTTTGCACCAGCGCAAAAGATTAGTCTGACCCAAAATCATTTCATCAATGGAGTTGATCAAGCATGGTGCACAAAGGCCACTATCTCACAGTCAAGTCCCAGCCACCATACACAATCACGCTCATCTTTGTTTAAGTTTGACCATCCTAAAGTGCCTCTTGTTTGCCATATATGGCATGTCCTTATAGGGATGTTGGGATTACGACGCAGTTTCCCAGACCAATGCATGAGTAACCCCAGCATGAGAGCTCGTTCTTCATATGACAGTCCAATTCAGGTGTCACATGGGCTGGTCAGCCATGGGTGGTAGCAGATTAGGTACATATGAGGGCAATGCACACCAGCACTTTCCAGATGGCATTCTGGCTGCTGAGTGGCCTCCTGACATGTGGCAGTTCAGTTCCATGGTGTCTCTGTCTGTAGTAACTAACAGAGGGGAGGACTGATGGCGGATTTGAGTTCTGAGAGATTCAGGATGACATTGGAGAGGTGCAATTCCTATGACATGTGAAGGCCCCCTAAGTTGATGGCATTTCTTGTCAATGAGTGTATGGTTGTGTTGGTTCATTGTGGTGAACACCTGCCTTATGCACTTGTCATGTGTGTGGTTGCATCCTCCCCATACACCATGATGTCACCAAGTCAACATATACAGCAACTCCAGGGCAGACTTTCTGGAGAAGCAATGTGCCAGCTCAACCCGAACAGCATAAGAGGACACCAGAACATGTCAATGTACATCACGAATACAGTGAGCCAGCGGAAGGTCATCTTGGATTCAGGTAGCCATATTGGACTATAATATGTCCAATAAAACTCACTTCTAAATGATAAGGAGGTGACTTTATAGCCCAATTCTGTAGGCTCAAGTTATACGACAGTGTGGCAAGTTGTAAAGCAAGGGAGCGGGTGACCGAGTCCAGGGTTGTATTCTCTTTCCTTTCATTAGAGCCTCATAGTTGCCTCATTGATCCTCAAAGAGGCTTGTGACTTGAAATACTTGGTGTTGCCATGCCAAGCAGTCTGCTGCTTTTTATATATACAGGCAAAGGTGTTTGAGTGTAATTATGGTGGGGATATAGGATTCCCAACATACAGTACATGATATTTAGCAATATCAGAACTTGCAATATTTGGTTACATGAGCTTATGTGACCCATCCCCCCTCCAGCCAGGCATTATACTGCAATGTTTTGTTTAGGGTGTCACAATATCTATACATTTAACCATATTAGTTACTATGCTGTTACTAAGCAGTAATGTATTACGGCAGTGTTATGTTATGACACCTATTAGGAAGTGCACATGCGCACTATTCGGCCGGGAGCTGTAGGGCACGTGATGTTCTTACTAAACTGTACTCCCGTCTCCTACCTGGTAATTTTCTCCACAACACGAATATTACAGCCACTAGCGTATAAAGCAACAAAGTAACCAAAGCAGTTTTCGTCTCCACGAAAAATGACAGCGTAGCTGCATTTTCCAGAAGCTTTAACATTTTTACATCACACGGGAATGAATTTCACAACACATTAATACTATTAGGTTATTATAAAGGCTAATTGTAAAGTAACTGGCCTATGCATTTGGCTCCTCTGACTGTCAATATATTTTATATAACATAAGCAAAAACATGTATTGCAAGATAATCACAATGCTCGTGATATTCAACAAACTAGATGTATTTTTCTCCTAGATTTTTCGTTGAATGCCGGAGTGTTAATAATTTACCTTGGTACCATTGTGCAAACAGCGTGGACGGAATGGAACTTAAACAACAATCAATAGGTCAATGGGTAGGTTGTACACGTCGTGTTTGTCCTCCTTCTGTATATACATTTTCATATAAATTCAGGTAAACTACTGTAACACTTATTACTTATACACGGTAGAAGCTCACCGCTGCTCTTACAGTAGGACAGATGCGGATCTGTATCATGTTGATGTTTTCTCCTTTATTCCTGCTGTGAGGAGCGCTTTGAAAGTGCGTTCCAACGATGAATAACTGACCTCACCTTTTCTCTCGGATTTCGCGTCCCATCTCTCTCCCACACAGCATTAATAGGCCAGTTATCCTCCTGACCCAGTGAGAGACAACACTCTGAGCTTTAAGAAATATTTGGTCAAGATTTGGACAGAATGGGATACGCACACTGCTGTACCGTGCTCGTTATAGTATTCCTTGCGCTACAGCAATCTACTGGATTTTGGCTCTTCGATGTGGTCTTCCCACCAAGTGCCAAACTTCAAAACAAAGTGGCAAACAATAGCACTCCGCCGGTTCTTATAGGTGAGCGTTTCAATTTCTTGATTAGTTTGCTGTGACGTTACATTTTATTTATTTTTTATTTTATTTAACCTTTATTTAACCAGGGAAGCCAGTTGAGAACGAGTTCTAATTTACAACTGCGACCTGGCAGGTGAAAGGCCTATTACACTGTGCCATTGGATTATGTTAATGTTTTATATTATTGTAATATTGTTGGCTTTCTTATATACTGAAAGACAAAAATGTAGTTAAGATAGGTCGATGTTCTGCCTGGAAGCCAGTTATCTATGGTATCTACAATGATTTAGCTTTTTAACTCAGTAGCAGGTGTGAATGCATGGTCCTGGGATATATATATTTACATCATTTAGTAGACGCTCTTATCCAGAGCAATTTACATTTATACTAGTCCCCTGTGGGAATTAAAACGCGCCAAGCGCCATGTTCTACCAACTGAGCCACACAGGATTCCTAATGCCAATGGCTGAGGGCTGGACTGGGGTGAAGAGCATACTGGTATTCTAATTCAGCATTTGCGGGGACAAATAGCATATCTGCCTGGAGAGGAGAGTGTTGGGTTAATAAATGTTTTATGGGGGCAGGAATGCCATACATGATGTCCTAGGAGGTGCTGTGTTGGGGAACTGGTAGAGCTTGGATAAGGGTTGGGGCTCAGATATATATATATATACAGTGGCTTGCGAAAGTATTCACCCACCTTGGCATTTTTCCTATTTTGTTGCCTTTCACCCTGGAATTAAAATTGATTTGGGGGGGGGGGGGGGGGGGGGGGGGGGTTGTATCATTTGATTTACACAACATGCCTACCACTTTGAAGATGCAAAATATTTTGTATTGTGAAACAAACAAGAAATAAGACAAAAAAACAGAAAACTTGAGCGTGCATAACTATTCATCCCCCCCAAAATCAATACTTTGTAGAGCCACCTTTTGCAGCAATTACAGCTGCAAGTCTCTTGGGGTATGTCTCTATAAGCTTGGCAAATCTAGCCATTGGATTTTTGCCCATTCTTCAAGGCAAAACTGCTCCAGCTCCTTCAAGTTGGATGGGTTCCGCTGGTGTACAGCAATCTTTAAGTCATACCACATATTCTTAATTGGATTGAGGTCTGGGCTTTGACTAGGCCATTCCAAGACATTAAAATGTTTCCCCTTAAACCACTCGAGTGTTGCTTTAGCAGTATGCTTAGGGTCATTGTCCTGCTGGAAGGTGAACCTCCGTCCCAGTCTCAAATCTCTGGAAGACTGAAACAGGTTTCCCTCAAGGATTTCCCTGTATTTAGCGCCATCCATCATTCCTTCAATTCTGACCAGTTTCCCAGACCCTGCCGATGAAAAACATCCCCACAGCATGATGCTGACACCACCATGCTTCACTGTGGGGTTGGTGTTCTCGGGGTGATGAGAAGTGTTGGGTTTGCGCCAGACATAGCGTTTTCCTTGATGGCCAAAAAGCTCAATATTAGTCTCATCTGACCAGAGTACCTTCTTCCATATGTTTGGGGAGTCTCCCACATGCCTTTTGGCGAACACCAAACGTGTTTGCTTATTTTTTTCTTTAAGCAATGGCTTTTTTCTGGCCACTCTTCCGTAAAGCCCAGCTCTGTGGAGTGTACGGCTTAAAGTGGTCCTATGGACAGATACTCCAATCTCCGCTGTGGAGCTTTGCAGCTCCTTCAGGGTTATCTTTGGTCTCTTTGTTGCCTCTCTGATTAATGCCCTCCTTGCCTGGTCCGTGAGTTTTGGTGGGCGGCCCTCTCTTGGCAGGTTTGTTGTGGTGCCGTATTCTTTCCATTTTTTAATAATGGATTTAATGGTGCTCCGTGGGATGTTAAAAGTTTTGGATATTTTTTTATAACCCAACCCTGATCTGTACTTCTCCACAACTTTGTCCCTGACCTGTTTGGAGAGCTCCTTGGTCTTCATGGTGCCGCTTGCTTGGTGGTGCCCCTTGCTTAGTGGTGTTGCAGACTCTGGGGCCTTTCAGAACAGGTGTATATATACTGAGATCATGTGACAGATTATGTGACACATAGATTGCACACAGGTGGACTTTATTTAACTAATTATGTGACTTCTGAAGGTAATTGGTTGCACCAGATCTTATTTAGGGGCTTCATAGCAAAGGGGGTGAATACATATGCACGCACCACTTTTCCGTTATTTATTTATTTTGAATTTTTTGAAACAAGTTTTTTTTTTTCATTTCACTTCACCAATTTGGACTATTTTGAAATCCAAATAAAAATCCCTTTAAATTACAGTTGTAATGCAACAAAATAGGAAAAATGCCAAGGGGGACGAATACTTTTGCAAGGCACTGTATATATTTATTTGATTGGTCAATGTCTTGTGTCTGTTTGATGGGACAAATCACACAATCCTGTTATCCTCTTCTTTCTCATCTACCATTGTTGTATGCTCTTTTTCAAATACTTGAATTCAAGCTGTTCTGATTGTATCTAACTTGTTCAAGAAGTTCTACATTTATCACTTTTGACCAGTGCCAGGGAACCTAGGAAACCAACTTGAGGCTAAGATTGACAAGCCATGCCTTGTGCATTGGATGTGCTACAAAAAGACTGATGACTTTTTCACACTCTGGATTGACCTAAATATGTTCATGCCAATTGGGATTGACTGTTGGATTGATAATATAAGGTGAGGGGGAGAATGAATATAATCTATGTCATAATTCTGTTTAGATATGATCATTAATTCATTAATTTCAACTTAATACACGTATGAAGCATTTGCTAATTGTTCACTGTTGTATCAATAAAAATGCACTGTAAGAGAGCAGCATATAACCACAACTCTATTTTCACAAGTTTGATTTTGAGTGTTGGCCATTTTAGTGGTTGGGATCATTTCTTTATGCAATAATATTCTGTACATACTGCATATTTCCTGCTACAGAATTGTATACAATAGGACAACTGGCAAGACCTCGAATTCTGCAGGAGTGACAGTGAGAGTGCCTGGTTTTGGACAGACATATAGTGTTGAGTTCTTGGACACCAACAAGCTGGCAGGTGAGAACAACCATAATGAGGCCATCTTTTCCTGTAAATGTTTTATTTTTAATTATAACATTAAATTAAATCTGTCTTTTTCCAGGTTATTTTCATACTATGGTTACGCATTTGGTCAACATGGGATATGTCCGCAATGAGACCATCCGAGCAGCACCATACGACTGGAGGATAGCTCCAAGTAAGTGACATCATGGACATAAACACACATAAACACACAAACCATCCAACTGACAATCAATTTCCTGTCAGCAAAATTACAAGTACAACGCATTAATTGTTTGTGCAAACATGCTTACACATCATGTGACTGTGTCTATTTGTCTCTACTAATCAGATGAGCAAGATGAATACTTTGCACGACTGAAGAAGCTGGTTGAGGATATGTATGAGGAGTATCAACAACCAATTTACCTCCTGGGACACAGCATGGGAAGCAATTATGTCCTCTATTTCTTATATCAGCAGACCCAGGCTTGGAAAGACCAGTACATCAAAGGCTTCATTTCACTCGGTGCACCCTGGGGTGGAGCAGTCAAGCCCCTTCGAGTGCTAGCGTCAGGTACTGTATGTCACAATCCTGTGGATAGATTGAAACAACCTCACCCATAGTAGAAACATAACTTAACCTAAAACAATCTGATAAACCTTGCTGAAGTACAACTTATTATCCCATAGATCACATTGACAGTTATCACTACATATTGCAAAGTCGTTTTACTTGAGATGATGCCCACATCTTAATTTTCTTGAAAGGATGGTAGGACTGGTTTGTCTGGATTGCTTTGGTGAGTCACACATTGGCTGGAGATTGCAAAATGAAAAAAGGTTTTCATATAATTTGTCTCTGCAGGTGAAAATGATGGCATCCCAATGGTGTCTAACATCAAGATCCGTGAGGAGCAACGGATGACCACCACAAACCCCTGGATGCTTCCATTTGAAGAGGCATGGCCTGCAGACCACGCCTTCATCTCCACACCCTCATTCAACTATACCCACCAGGACTACCAGCGCTTCTTCAAAGATATTGATTTTGAGGATGGCTGGTTCATGTGGGAAGACACCAGAAACCTGACCGCAGGTCTGCCCCCTCCTGATGTTGAGATATACTGCTTCTATGGTGTGGGGCTGCCTACACCAGTTACCTATATTTATGATGACCAGTTCCCAAATGTAGACCCTATAGACTATGTGTATGCAGATGGGGATGATACAGTGGACAGTCTTAGCATGGGTCTATGTAAGCGCTGGATAGGGAAGCAAGCACAACCTGTCCATGTCAAGGAGTTCAGGGCCATGCCCCACTTGGAAATAGTATTCAATAGCAAGGTGCTCAACGTGGTCCAGAGTATCCTGGAAGGAAGATATGAGGAAGAGGATTATGAATTCCATGAGACTGATGTACTTCCTGCTGACCCCCCTGTCATGCAAGACCAGCCCCTGCCGGATCAGCCTCCCAAATCTACACTGTAAAATGTTGGGGAGATGGTGCACGTGATGGCCCTCCCACCTACACTGTACAGTACCATTACAAACAACAAACTATCTTAAATCTCCTTAATAGTAGAGAAAGACATACACCTTTAGTGTGGTGTACTAGAGTCGACTGCAATAGAGTTCCTATATCATGTGTATATAAATTACCTTTTTTAAGTGTGTGGCTGACTGCACATTCCTGACAGGCTGCATGAGGGCATCTCGTACAATGATGCTGATGTCAGCCCCAGATTAGCCTTCTTTCTTCTTGTCGAGCTTACGCAGGTCACCGTAACTCAGGTTGTGGGGCGTGTTGCCCAGGTGCAACCGGAACATCTGGGACCTAAAGGCTCCTCTGGGTGTGGGATGTAGATAAGCTTCTCAATCCTGAGGGTGACATAATGCACTGATTACAATGCTTGATATTGACTTTATTGTATCCATTAGGAAATAATTTTTGGTTGAACAGTACAACACAAAACACTTCCCATTTAATATTTACAGTGCCTTCAGAACGTTTTCACACCCCTTTACTTTTTCCATATTTTGTTGTATTACAGCCTGAATTTAAAAATGATAAAATTGAGATTTTTTTGTCACTGGCACACAATACCCCATAATGTGAAAGTGGAATTATGTTTTTCATTAAAAATAAAAATGAAAAGCTGAAATGTCTTGAGTCAATAAGTATTCAACCCCTTTGTTATGGAAATCCTAAAATAAGTTCATGAGTAAAAATGTGCTTAACAACTCACATAATAAGTTGCATGGACTCACTCTGTGTGCAATAATAGTGTTTAACATGATTTTTGAATGACTACCTCATCTCTGTACACCACACATACAATTAGCTGTAATGTCCCTCAGTCGAGCAGTGAATTTCAAACACAGATTCAACCATAAAGGCCAGGGAGGTTTTCCAATGCCTCGCAAAAAAAGACACCTATTTCACCATGAGGCCAATGGTGACTTTAAAACAGTTACAGAGTTTAATGGCTGTGATAGGAGAAAACTGAGGATGGCTCAACAACATTGTCATTATGGGGTAATGTGTGTAGTGATGGGTGAGAATGATTATTTTTGAATTCATTTTGAATTCAGGCTGTAAGACAACAAAATGTGGAATAAATCAAGGGGTATTAATACTTTCTGATGGCACTGTATTGTTCTACAAACATTTCAAGAGAAATGTAGGAGAGTTAATCCTGAGAAACTTCAATTAACCACCCTCCATGTTCCATCACACAAACTATGGACATCTAAGGGTCTGGTTAGTTTTATAAAGAGGAATGACAAACCACACACATACACACACACACGCACAGACATACACACGCACGCACACACACACACACAGACAGACACACACCCGCACGCATGCACACACACACACACCCTGACCTCTGACCCATGTGTTTAGTTCTGACCTGCTTGCCATGGTGGAAAAAGTACCTTATTGTCAAAGTTGAGTAAAAGTAAAGATACCTTAATAGAAAATGACTCAAGTGAAAGTGACACGGTAAAAGTCTAAAAGTATTTGGTTTTAAATATACTTCAGTATCAAAAGTAAATGTAATTGCTAAAATATACTTAAGTGTCAAAGTCAAAGTATAAATAATTTCAAATTCCTTATATTATATTAAGCAAACCAGACGGAACAATTTTCGTGTTTATTTATGGATAGCCAGGGACACACTCCAACACTCAGACATAATTTACAAACAAAGCATTTAGTGAGTCTGCCAGATCAGAGGCAGTAGGGATGACCAGGTATGTTCTCTTGATAAGTGCATAAATCGGACCATTTTCCTGTCCTGCTAAGCATTCAAAATGTAACGAGTACTTTTGGATGTCAGGGAAAATTTATGGAGTAAAAAGTATATTATTTTTATTAGGAATGTAGCGAAGTAAAAGTTGTCAAAAATAGAAATGGTAAAGTACAGATACCCCAAAAAACTACTTAAGTAGTACTTTGAAGTATTTTTACTTAAGTACTTTACACCACTAGTGGTGGCTGAATAAGAGGCGGGTGTCGGCAGCGGTGGCCATCTGCAGACAGGTAGCTCCGCCCCACATGGGAGACTTCCTTAAAAGGAGGGTGAAGAAGTGGCTCTCACTGCTCTGGTAGCAGTCACTGAACACTTCTAGAGAGAGAGAGAGAGGAAGGGGTTAACACTCAACACTTGTTAGTCAAAAACGCTGCAGCACATATCAGTAGTCTGCATTACCCTGTAACTTTTCTTTAGCAAAGAAAAAAGCTAACCTACCTTTGGCCAGGTTGTCAAACTTCTGAGCTAACTCCTTCATTGAAAACTTGGTCTCTGTCTCACTCTACATCTTCGACAGCTCCCTCAGCATTTTACATCCTGCCAGAGCACTGAGGACAGACTCGATGGGGGAGGGGAAGAGTTAGAGAGAGAGAAATTGCGATTTATTTCGAATTCAAGGCACACTTAACCAGCATGGCTACCACAGCATTCTGCAGCGATACGCCATCCCATCTGGTTTGCACTTAGTGGGACTTATTTTTACAACAGGACAATAACCCAAAACACACCTCCAGGCTGTGTAAGGGCTATTTGACCAAGAAGGAGAGTGATGGAGTGCTGCATCAGATGACCTGGCCTCCACAATCACCCGACCTCAACCCAATTGAGATGGTTTGGGATGAGTTGGACCGCAGAGTGAAGGGAAAGCAGCCAACAAGTTCTCAGCATATGTGGGAACTCCTTCAAGACTGTTGGAAAAGCATTCCTCATGAAGCTGGTTGAGAGAATGCCAAGAGTGTGGAAAGCTGTCATCAAGGCAAAGGGTGGCTACTTTAAAGAATCACAAATATAAAATATATTTTGATTTGTTTAACACTTTTTTGGTTACTACATGATTTCATATGTGTTATTTCATAGTTTTGATGTCTTCACTATTATTCTACAATGTAGAAAATAGTAAAAATAAAGAAAAACCCTTGAATGAGTAGGTGTGTCCAAACTTTTGACTGGTAATGTATATATCTCGCTGTGGTTCTGCAGCACATCCCAGATGAACAGAGAAGCTCAGGGAGAGAGACAGCGCTGCTTCCTGACACTCCCCCAGAAACAACTTATTAACTTGCTGAGAGGTGGGGAGAGTGGGGGAAGAGAGATATAGAGAGGGGAAGATAGAGAAAGATAGGGAGAGAGTGAATACAGTTTGGTTAGCACAGCAGTCACAGTTACATTCTGTGGCCAATAATGCATTGGTATCACCATAGCAGCTCAGCTGGTAGAGCACGGCGCTTGTAACGCCAGGGTAGTGGGTTTGATCCCCGGGACCACCCATACACAAAAATGTATGCACGCATGACTGTAAGTCGCTTTGGATAAAAGCGTCTGCTAAATGGCATATTATATTATATTATTATATGACTTTGTCATTGAGAACAATGCATTTGTAAATTCTATATATGTAGATTGTTGTGCCAGTTTTTTTTTGACTGTATGTGATAAGGATTTTTTTAATGATGATACATTTGTTAAGATATTTGTGAAATAGTTAACGCAAATGCAAGTTAGGTCTATGGCCCGGCAGGTGTCAATGCTGTATGATGCACATCTGCCTTTCAGCCTGGTAAATGATGTAATTTTCAGAAGATGCATAAACCAAACACGTCTCAGTAAATGGTAAATACTGTTGTATACATTGCATATAAAATTCAAGAATCAAATCCTTATTGTACTAAGGTGCCATCTATTGATGCCAAATCAATTCTGATGAAACATTTACAACTGAATTGCCCCAGTGTTTAATTCAGTTGCCAATAGGTTTCTCATTTCTGTGGGAGTAAGACACAATTGGTTTATCCCATACAACTTTTTTTGGGAGAAAATACATACATAAAGGCCACAGCTTGTCGCATTGACTGCAAATGAAAATGTACTAACAACTCCTTTGAATGCATAGTATTGTTAAAATGTGTTCAAGATGTCTCTCATATGTTGCCAATGGATCCATAAGGATTGCTTGCACAATAACATGATAACTTTTTTGAGTGTTCTTCAAATTTAGAATGATCATTGCCCAATGGCTTGAATAAATATTAAGTGGAACAACAATTATGGAGTATTGCCACCAATTTCTATTTATTTTGGGAAGCACTCTAAATTTCTACAATATATACTGTTCAATTCCTGACTAACAAAAGTAACAGGAACAGCTAGAACACCAGCTAGAACAGCCTAGACATGTAGGCTATTGCAGCATAGATACTGGGGACTGAGACAGTGGGGGTCGGGGGACACTGTGGCCCTGTAAAAAATGGACAGGTCAATGTGAAAATGTTATCTTCAAAAGAGTTGACAGTAGTTTAAAACCATTAATACTATTGTTGTATCATTATAGTAAAAAAAAGTACATCGCTCTTTGTTAATAGATTTCAATAATATATTGTTAGTTATTTTCAATAAATGTATAATGTTTGTGATTTTAAATCAGAAAAACGTCCTGTAATAGGTAAGTTCACATTGCCCTTGATTAGTGGGGGTTTTAATCACTGAGGTATAATTAAGCAATAAGGCCTGAGGGGGTGTGGTATATGGCCAGTATACCACAGCTAATGGCTGTTCTAAAGCACGACCCAACGTGGAGTGCCTGGATACAGCCCTTAGCTGTGGTATATTGGCCATATAGTACAAACCTCCACCGTGCCTTATTGCTATTGTAAACTGGTTACCAACATAATTAGAACAGTAAACAAGTAATTTTGCGTCATACCTGTGGTATATTGTCTGATATACCATGGCTTTCAGCCAATCAGCATCCAGGAGCCAAACTACCCAGTTTATAATAAGGTTTTAGCTGTCTGATGGTCAATAGGGATGTCCCACAGCCTGCAGTGTATGTCGTTCAGGAGAAGGATCCCAACACACTAACAGTGAAGAAGGTGGACTTTGTTGTGTTTATAGCGCAAGTGAAAAATTGCGCTAGTCAAACTAACACAAAATCAAAGAAGCTAGACATCATTGTGAAGGTGGCAAAAATATTTCTCGGGTCTCCAGGACTTTACAGCCCAAATGTTACAGGGAATACTGAATGAAGAGGTTCCCCCCTCCCAGGTTCCTGAGCCTGTGTAGGGATCTGAAAATATATTTGAATCTGACTGAAGGACTATAGTTTTTGTTTACTTTTGAATATTATAAGAACTGTATATTTTTTTCACCTTTCCCTTCTCCCTATTATTTTGCGTTCAAGTTTAACCGTTTTCACCCCATCCAATAGGTGGCGGCATGCACCTTTAACGTTGTTTGCGGACCGCCATAATACCATAGAATAAGAACAAGAAGAAGATGGTCGATAGGTTGATAAATTATCTGTTGCACCCCTGCCTTCAACATCTGCGCAGTTTTGTTGTCATGTTGTGAAACGTGTGTTAGCAAAGGGATTTATTCGTGTAGATAAACACCCACATTTCCTCATCAGGGGAAACAGCGTTATGAATGGGAGAAATGGTATCCTGTGGGTTGACTATCCCAGCGCTCGTTCAGCTGTGTTTGTTGTTGTTTTTGGCACCATACATCAACTGCAGAACATTGGATAAATGTCTCACGGGCAAGTCATGTCGATTAGAAAGACCTCCCGTAGTCCTAAGTAAGTGACACTTGTTTATCTTGGTTGTATCTAACGTTAGCTCTTCTATTTTTATTTATTCAAATCAAATCACATTTTATTGATCACATACACATATTTAGCAGATGTTATTGCGGTTGTAGCGAAATGCTTGTGTTCCTAGCTCCAACAGTGCAATAGTATCTAACAATTCACAACAATACACACACATCTAAAAGTTAAACTGTGTAACAGATATAGCCAAGAAGCTGGCGAGGCAAACGTCATCAGACAGGTAGGCTAGTTAGCAGAAACTGAAGCTTGACCTGTTACTCAGAATCAGATTTGATTTGAGATGTCTCTCGATGAACAGCAAGGCATTGTTTATTTCCTTAATTAGAGATGGGGTAAAAACTAGCTAATATAAAATACCGTCGTTATAACTTTTGTTGGTCAATAATCTATCCTTGTGCACATTACATTTCTTACTCCAACTTTACAATGCAGCTAGGTCTCCGATTGTTTACTCATGAGTAGAATGATTCAGGCAGGCTAGGCTCGAGTTGGTCATATGACTGGCAAATGGAAGGAACAAAATGTGACCCAGACACTTTGTTTGCCAACATGTTTCCCACGCGCTACAATGTATCTATCTACTGTTACTATTTAACCAAATTGTAATAGGCCTAATGCTGTTTTCTGTCTTATATCACCTTTTAATTACTTCCACAGCTTCATAATACATTTGAGGATAAAAATACATATATTGCAAGCCTAGTAATGAGTAGTCTGTTCTGTGTTTCAACAAAGGGTATCTCACTGCCTTATCTTCTGTTTGGCGAGTTACAACCCTAGCATGTCTCCATTCATGGCAGTGATAGCAGTCAGTGAAGTTTGCCCCAAGGTTTCCTTTCTGGTTACGGCTTTTAACTTGTGGTTGACTCAGGGTCATTAAACGTTGTATGTAGTCACAGCCTCACATGTTGAAATCTAAATCTGGCCAGAGTAAACACTAATCTCTCCATTCTAAAAGACCCCACAAACATGAGTTTTGTCTCATATAGTTCCAGAAATAGGGTTTAGAGAGGAGGGCTGAGGAGTTATCCAGTGTATTAATAAATGTTAATAACTCATCACCTGTATCACACTCTAAATTGATAGTGTTCTGCCTTTTGTCAGTCTTTGATTGGCCATCCTCATCATCATCATATTGTATTGTCCCACAGTTCCTGGAGACCTAGGGAACCAGTTGGAGGCCAAGCTGGACAAGCCCAGCGTGGTTCACTACATCTGCTACAAGAAGACTGATGTCTATTTCACATTATGGCTCAACCTGGAACTGCTGGTGCCGGTGGCCATCGACTGCTGGATCGACAACATAAGGTTAGCACTTAGTGCTATGTGAGGTGGAAAAGCGGATGATTGGGGATTGGGAGTATTTGATTAATATGAGCTCGGTAGAAAGCTGGGGTGGCAGGTGGCTTAGTGGTTAAGAGCGTTGTGCCAGTAACTGAAAGGTTGCTGGTTCTAATCCCCGAGCCGACTAGGTGAAAAATCTGTCGATGTGCCCTTGAGCAAGGCACTTAACCCTAATTGCTCCTGTAAGTCGCTCTGGATAAGAGCGTCTGCTAAATGACTTTAAAAAATAAAATAAAAATAAAAAAAAGCTACTGATAGCATCTCTACTACTGGCAACTTGATATTAATAATAAAATAATACTAGTTTAATACTACTAAGCAGCTGGCTGAGTAGGCATGAGCGATAATTCTGTTTTTTTTTTAAGGTTGAATAGGTTATCTTCTGACCATTGTACAAACTGACCTTTGAATCCCCTTCTTTGTAATCAATATGTTTTCAACAATTAGTCTGTCTCTCAGAGCTTATAGTTTATTTAATAGTGAAGCCATAGTGTACAACCAGTTGGCAAAACATTTGCGAGTTCAAATCTCAAGGACAACTTTAACATTTGAGCTAATTAGAAACTTTAACTACTTACAACTTTTTAGCTACTTTACAACTACTTAGCATGTTAGCTAACCCTTCCCCTAACCTTAACCCTTTTAGCTAACCCTTCCCCTTCCCCTAACTCTGACCTTAACCCTTTAACCTAACTCCTAAACTTAAACCTTAGCAAATTCGAAACATTTTATGTTTTGCAAATTCGTAACATTTCATACGAAATGGTTGATGGACATACACAAATTAATACATACCATACGAAACGTAACATATCATACTAAATGGAGTGTACGGATTTACATACAGAATAAAACAAAGTGCTCTGAGACCAGGTTGTTAAGGAGGACGATTTGAAGGCAGTGACAAATAACTAGGTAATCAATATTTATTGAAAATGACAAGGCGCAATGCTCGTTCACCATGGTAGCCTATGCATGCGTTGTGCCTTTTCCTTTTCAATGATGATCACATTTTTGGATTTCATCTCGACTCACTTTGGTTGAGCACCCTCCACTTCTTTCCATTACCAAGATTTATTTACAGACACTGTAGTAAACTATAGTCTAATCATATTTAACTTATTTGGAAAGATAACTGCCACGTGATTCTATACCATGCGTAGGAAACCTACTCTGTCATTGAGACCACACATACGGTGACTTTTTCCACATTTTGTTACATTAATCTTATTCAAAACGGGATTAAATTGTTTTTTCCCCCTCAATCTACACACAATACTCCATAATAACAAAGCAAAAACAGGTTTTTAGAAATTTTAGAAATGGAAATATAACATTTACATAAGTATTCAGACCCTTTACTCAGTACTTTATTGAAGCACCTTTGGCAGCAAATACAGCCTCAAGTCTTCTTGGGTATGATGCTACAAGCTTGTATTTGGGGAGTTTCTCTCATTCCTCTCTGCAGATCCTCTCAAGCTCTGTCAGGTTGGATGGGGAGGGTTGCTGTACAGCTATTTTCAGGTCTCTCCAGAGATGTTTGATCAGGTCTCTGGCTGGGCCACTCAAGGACATTCAGAGACTTGTCCCGAAGCCACTCCTGCATTGTCTTGGCTGTGTGCTTAGGGTCGTTGTCCTGTTGGAAGGTGAACCTTCACCCCAGTCTGAGGTCCTGAGCGCTCTGGAGCAGGTTTTCATCAAGGATCTCTCTGTACTTTGCTCCGTTCATCTTTGCCTCGATCCTGACTAGTCTCCTAGTCCCTGCCTCTGAAAAACATCCCCACAGCATGATGCTGCCACCACCATGCTTCACCGTAGGGATGGTGCCAGGTTTCCTCCAGACGTGACACTTAGCATTCAAGACAAAGAGTTCAATCTTGGTTTCATCAGACCAGAGAATCTTGTTTCTCATGGTCTGAGAGTCCTTTAGGTGCCTTTTGGCAAACGCCAAGTGGGCTGTCACGTGCCTTTTACTGAGGAGTGGCTTCCGTCTGGCCACTCTACCATAAAGGCCTGATTGGTCGAGTGCTGCAGAGATGGTTGTCCTTCTGGAAGGTTCTCCCATCTCCACAGAGGAACTCTAGAGCTCTGTTAGAGTGACCATCGGGTTCTTGGTCACCTCCCTGGCCCTTCTCCCCCGATTGCTGTTTGGCCGGACGGCCAGCTCTAGGAAGAGTCTTGGTGGTTCCAACCTTCTTCCATTTAAGAATGATGGAGGCCACAGTGTTCTTTGGGACCTTCAATGCTGCAGAACATTTTTGGTACCCTTCCCCAGATCTGTGCCTTGACACAATCCTGTCTCGGAGCTCTATGGACAATTCCTTAAACCTCATGGCTTGGTTTTTGCTCTGACATGCACTGTCAACTGTGGGACCTTGATTTGGAAAGGCACACACCTGTCTATATAATGTCCAATCAATTGAATTTACCAGAGGTGGACTCCAATCAAGTTGTAGAAACATCAAGGATGATCAATGGAAACAGGATGCACCTGAGCTCAATTTTGAGTCTCATAGCAAAGGAATACTTATGTAAATACGTTTTTTTTTTCTTTTCTTATAAATTTGCAAAAATATCTAAAAACCTGTTTTCGCTTTGTCATTATGGGGTATTAGATGGCTTAATTTTTTAATTTTTTGATCCATTTTAGAAAAAAGCCATAACGTAACAAAATGTGGAAAAAGTCAAGGGATCTGAATACTTTCCGAAGGCACTGTATACTAGGTGCACTTGATCTCGCACGCCCAACTAGTAGAGGAGAGGTAGGCTACTTAACTTGTGAATTCTGAGAGTGGCTAACGCATACAAAGCAGAGACGTCCGTTTTCAAGTAATCTGTGGGACAACAAAAGTATTTTAATTCCAAAGTTCTGTCTGACCGCCTGCTCCCAACCACAGCATGAAAAATGCTGACTGCACCGCAATGATCTCTGTCGGGACCCGCAGGTGCAGCCCTCGATACTGAAATTAATTCTAACAGGTGTTTCCAGTTGGGTCTCTAACCAAAATAACTACAACATGTCAGTGTGCTGTGGCTTTATTTCAGGAACAACTCATGAATTAAGGGAAGGGAAAGTTTCCAGTTCTATCCCATGTCATCTTCATAATACTTAATATATATACTGTAATGTCATTGTAATTAACTTTTCTAATATTCTTGCATCTGTCTGTCCATCTGTCTGTGTATTAGACTGATTTACAACCGCACAACAAGGCAGACAGAAGCTCCTCCGGGGGTAGATGTTAGGGTGCCTGGCTTTGGACAGACCTTCCCTCTGGAATACCTTGACCCCAGCAAGCGCAGTGTTGGTGAGTGGGCCCATAGTAGCGTGCCTAAAGTAGCTATTCAACGGTCTCTCTAATAGTGGGAGTATCTCGCTTTGCTTGTGTGTGGGTTTGACTAAGCTACTATTGTTTGTTTTGCAGGTATGTATTTCTTCACCATAGTGCAGGCGCTGGCGGAATGGGGATATACAAGAGATGACGATGTTCGAGGGGCTCCGTATGACTGGCGTAAGGCTCCAAGTAAGTAGCCTACACCCCTTACAGTCCATTTCATTCTGTTACAATTGCAGTCTGATGAACCGAGCTTGTTGGCAACAGATCTTTGGATGAATTGCATGTCCTTGTGTTTGGAGCTAGCTATGTGTTATTGCCACCAACCTTTATAGTGTTGTCGGGTAGTTTATAGCCTGTAAGATGTATTACTTTGTATCTAGTCATTGGAATTATAATCAACATTTTAATAGAGAAACAGAATGTCAATTTAGACCTTTTTAGATGTATTAAATATTTGCTTTAAAATATTGTTATAGGAATCGCAGTAGTTTAGAATGACCAGCCTCATGCATGTTTTCCCCCTTGCTTTTATATGATTGACAGATGAGAACAAGGCCTACTTCTTGAGTCTGCAACAGATGATTGAAGAGATGGCAGAGAAGGCTGGGGGTCCGGTTGTCCTGATTGCCCACAGCATGGGGAACATGTACACCTTGTATTTCCTGAACCATCAGCCCCAGGCCTGGAAGGATTTCTACATCAAGGCCTTTGTGTCCCTGGGTGCTCCTTGGGCTGGAGTGGCCAAAACCATGAGAGTTGTGGCTTCTGGTAAGAGTCTGAGTATGCCTTTTGGCATGAATTACATAGGAGTCAGAGACACAATAGTGGAGCTGCTGTGGGCTGCATACCAATCATAATGTCTAGCAACCATGTACTTTATATTAACTATTGCATTGGTTTATATTGTGTCTTTCCTTGCAGGTGATAATAACCGTATTCCAGTCATCAGTTCACTAAAAATCCGCTCACAGCAGCGCTCTGCAGTCTCAACTATATGGCTGTTCCCATACGCACATTCCTGGCCCGCTGACCAGATCCTGATCAAAACACCCACCACCAACTATACCGTGAAGGACTACCAGCGCTTCTTCAAGGATATTGACTTCGAAGATGGCTGGGAGATGCGTCAAGACACTGCGCCACTGGTCAGTGCACTGGAGCCCCCCGGGGTGGCCATACATTGTCTGTACGGCAGTGGAGTGCCTACAGCGGAGGGTTTCATCTACACCAACTTTCCTGAAACAGACCCCACCCTGATTCTTGGAGATGGGGATGGGACGGTCAACCTGCTGAGTGCCACCCAGTGCAAGCGTTGGATAGGCCACCAGAATCAGCCTGTCCATATGCTTGAGCTGGAGGGGAATGAGCATGTGGCCATGTTGCTCAACTTTACCACGGTCGCCTACATCAAGACCGTCCTTTTTGGCCCCTGAGCGACCGCAACTAGATCTTATCTTAAGAGACAGTCACAAACTGTGATAGTACAAAGAGATGACCGATAGGCTTGTGGACAGATTATGATCTCAGAGCCTGATGAGGAAATGTTTTACCCTATTTCTGATTTTATTACAAATTATCCCCTCAGCAGACGACTGATGTTTTTTCCCCTTAATGTCTATCCAAATTTGGTGGTTAATTGATCTTATCTGTAATGATATTCTGTTTTCTAAGATCTTTTCCAATCCACTTAACTCAGAGATTACCAGATTGTTTCCTGATGTGCTGAACCAAAACGCGTTGTGATTTTATATACAGATTTTACCATATCATATTTAAAGTTATGTATTTAAACCATTAGAGGCATAGCTACAATAAGCCAGGAATATTTGTACCATGAACGTCAGTGATTTTACTGTACACATTAGCCAAGTGAACACCAGAGAAATAATGATAACTTTAGTATACACATCGGAAGTAGCCTAGAAGTATTTTTTATTCAGACTTTTTCTGCTGTCACAAAGCGTGTTACATTTTGTTTTGTTCTCTAGGTCACCGTATGTATAGTATACCGGTACATATTCTGTATGTATAACATAAGAAAACAAATCACATGTTTACGCCTGTAATTCTGTTCCTGAAACATGTCTGCTATTCTTAACTTTTGCATTGCTTAACATTCTCTTAACATGGTTTGATTTAGAATGTAACTGTTTAATATGTGATCCTCAGAAGTAGCAGTGTGTCCAGTATTGAGCTGTGATTAATGCATATATCCAGGGCCTTTTGTCGAGGCTAGATTGTTTACTGGGACAGCACAGGGAGACGCTGTCCAATCAGCTTGATTGTAACTGTGCCATTGCTCTATGGTTGTGCTTGACCAATATGTTATTGCTGGAACTATCATGATCTGTTTGTGTGCTACCCAGTGACGATTAAGTAAAATGTTGAACATTGCATTAAGCCGGCCTTCTGTGTGAGCTCTGTTTAAAGAAGGAGTGAAAATTGGAACTGTTTCATCAGCCTCATCATAGGTTCCTCTTCCATAGTCTCTTCTCACAGCCGCTGTGGAGCGTGTGTGCAGCACACCCATTGTCTGGCGAAAGAGACTACCTCTTCCCCTCAGACGTCTTAACACATCTACTTCAGTACTTTTACGGATCAAACAGGATCTACCATATGAACCTGCAACACTTAATCAGGGTTTCTGAACTCTTCATCAGAAAGCCACCTTGATTGATTGCGCCATAAGTCATTGGGTACTATCGTCTGGAGTGTTAGTTCAGGATTATTCTATCCTCTAATCAAAAAGGTTCATTAATTAATTATATCCTTCTAGTTCACAAGTCACGCATTTAGGCCTGTAAAGATCAAACAGATTAAAACTTTAGTTGATAACTACCATTTCATACTAGGTCAAGTTGCTTTTAACTTGGTCAATAATGATTGAAGATAATTTGAAATACTCTTCTCAGGTCTAGGGTCAGTGATGTCTTGTGTCATACAGTACCTGTAGGAGCAATGCTTGCATACCAGAGGTGGCTGGTGGGAGGAGCTATCAAAGGACAGCTCATTGTAATGGCTGGAATGGAATAAATGGAACATACATTATGTGGTTTCCATATGTTTAATACCGTTTCATTTATTCTATTCCAGCCATTAAAATGAGCCTGGCCTCCTATAGCTCCTCCCACTAGCCGCCTCTGTTGCATACATAAATAAATGTTTTATCAAAACAAACCTCACGCATGAAGATGTTGCCATCTTTTAAGGAAGTTGTTTGACTTCAGGAGTTACAACTCAAATCAAATCACATCTTATTTGCCACATGCGCCGAATACAACAGGTGTAGACATTACAGTGAAATGCTTACTTATAAGCCCTTAACCAACAATGCAAAGTAAAACAAATAAAAAAACGTGTTAAGCAAAAATAATAAAAGCAAATAACTAAAGAGCAGCAGCAAATTGTCCGGGTAGCCATGATTAGCTGTTCAGGAGTCTTATGGCTTGGGGGTAGAAGCTGTTGAGAAGCCTTTTTGACCTAGACTTGGCGCTCCGGTACTGCTTGCCGTGCGGTAGCAGAGAGAACCAGTCTATGACTAGGGTGGCTGGAGTCTTTGACAATTTTGAGGGCCTTCCTCTGACACCGCCTGGTATAGAGGTCCTGGATGGCAGGAAGCTTGGCCCCAGTTATGTACTGGGCCGTACGCACTACCCTCTGTAGTGCCTTGCGGTCGGAGGCCGAACAGTTGCCATACCAGGCGGTGACGCAACCCAGTCAGGATGCTCTCGACGGTGCAGCTGTAGAACTTTTTGAGGATCTGAGGACCCATGCCAAATGTTTTCAGTCTCCTGAGGGGGAACTGAAAACATTTGGCAACTCACTTCTTTTACAAAAATATAGATACAGTGGGGGAAAAAAGTATGTAGTCAGCCACCAATTGTGCAAGTTCTCCCACTTATAAAGATGAGAGAGGCCTGTAATTTTCATCATAGCTACACGTCAACTATGACAGACAAATTGAGATTTTTTTTCCCCAGAAAATCACATTGTAGGATTTTTAATTGAATTTATTTGCAAATTATGGTGGAAAATAAGCATTTGGTCACCTACAAACAAGCAAGATTTCTGGCTCTCACAGACCTGTAACTTCTTCTTTAAGAGGCTCCTCTGTCCTCCACTCGTTACCTGTATTAATGGCACCTGTTTGAACTTGTTATCAGTATAAAAGACACCTGTCCACAACCTCAAACAGTCACCCTCCAAACTCCACTATGGCCAAGACCAAAGAGCTGTCAAAGGACACCAGAAACAAAATTGTAGACCTGCACCAGGCTGGGAAGACTGAATATGCAATAGGTAAGCAGCTTGGTTTGAAGAAATCAACTGTGGGAGCAATTATTAGGAAATGGAAGACATACAAGACCACTGATAATCTCCCTCGATCTGGGGCTCCACGCAAGATCTCACCCCGTGGGGTCAAAATGATCACAGAACCACAAAAAATCCCAGAACCACACGGGGGGACCTAGTGAATGACCTGCAGAGAGCTGGGACCAAAGTAACAAAGCCTACCATCAGTAACACACTACGCCGCCAGGGACTCAAATCCTGCAGTGCCAGACGTGTCCCCCTGCTTAAGCCAGTACATGTCCAGGCCCGTCTGAAGTTTGCTAGAGTGCATTTGGATGATCCAGAAGAGGATTGGGAGAATGTCATATGGTCAGATGAAACCAAAATATAACTTTTTGGTAAAAACTCAACTCGTCATGTTTGGAGGACAAAGAATGCTGAGTTGCATCCAAAGAACACCCTACCTACTGTGAAGCATGAGGGTGGAAACATCATGCTTTGGGGCTGTTTTTCTGCAAAGGGACCAGGATGACTGATCCGTGTAAAGGAAATAATGAATGGGGCCATGTATCGTAAGATTTTGAGTGAAAACCTCCTTCCATCAGCAAGGGCATTGAAGATGAAACGTGGCTGGGTCTTTCAGCATGACAATGATACCAAACACACCGCCCGGGCAACGAAGGAGTGGCTTCGTAAGAAGCATTTCAAGGTCCTGGAGTGGCCTAGCCAGTCTCCAGATCTCAACCCCATAGAAAATCTGTGGAGGGAGTTGAAAGTCCGTGTTGCCCAGCGACAGCCCCAAAACATCACTGCTCTAGAGGAGATCTGCATGGAGGAATGGGCCAAAATACCAGCAACAGTGTGTGAAAACCTTGTGAAGACTTACAGAAAACGTTTGACCTGTGTCATTGCCAACAAAGGGTATATAACAAAGTATTGAGAAACTTTTGTTATTGACCAAATACTTATTTTCCACCATAATTTGCAAATAAAATCATAAAAAATCCTCCAATGTGATTTTCTGGAAAAAAAAATTCTCATTTTGTCTGTCATAGTTGACGTGTACCTATGATGAAAATTACAGGCCTCTCTCTCTTGGTGGCTGACTAAATACTTTTTTTCCCCACTGTACCTGCAACTCCTGCAGACACTCTTTGCGAATGTGTTCCGTGCAGTCACCAACACACCAGGCCAGACTTACATGGAAGGAAGGATTCTAGAAGAAAAGTTCAGTGTTCACTCTTCATCTCATACAATAGTGTAAACTGTTTATTATCCATTCTTTGCTAAACAGTAGTGCTGTCACGATGCCAGAATTTTTACTTCGATACCGATACCAGGTTTAATATCACGATACTCAATACCATCACAATACTCAATACCAACGATACCACAGCAAAAAACAAAGGCATATTAGCCAAAGTCACAGAATGACATTTGATCCAGACAAATAATCTCAGCTAATGCTCTGTTCAATCATTGGGCATCTTTTGATTTCAATATCATTACATTTGAAATGTTTTACGTTAGAATTTTTCTGAGACAGCCATGTATAAATGAATGAACCAATTATACAATCTACCAACATAATGGTAATAATTTATTTGAATGGTAAATCTCTATTGATAAACTGGGTAAATCAAGATGTACCCTAGGCCTATTCATAGTACAAGTGAATGCATATTCAATAGGAGTGGCAGGTAGCTTAGTGGTTAAGAGCATTGTGCCAGTAACCGAAAGGTCCCTGGTTCTAATCCCCGGGCTGACTAGGTGAAAAATCTGTCGATGTGCCCTTGAGCAAGGCACTTAACCCTAATTGCTCCTGTAAGTCGCTCTGGATAAGAGCGTCTGCTAAATTACTAAAATGTAAATGAGTGTGTGCATGCATTGAGTTATTGAGCTTGTTTTGGCTCATTTCATTGGGCTACAGATTACAAACAATCTGTTTCCCTTCCACGTGGCACTTATTTTATTGTACTGATCAATAACATTTGCATAGAAGTTGCTTATTTTATTAAAGTGCGGCTGTTGCTTTAACCAGTAATGACGTCATTCACAGAGGGGCGCGGCATGTTGGAGCCAATGATGTATATAAACCCTGGATCACTAACGCTACTATGTATTGGCCAGAGAGGCTTCGAAGCCACCGGTCGGCCATATTGGCACTCCCCAGTAGGAGCAGTCCTCCATAGGAATGAATGGCATTCTACAGTATTTCAATTAAATGTTTCAAGGACAAAATTACATGTATTTAAGTATTTTGTTGTTTTAGTGGGGACAGTAACATTAGTAATTAAAAAAATTATACTTTAAGGAAAATTGTTTTTATTTGTATAGTTCCCATAATATAATTTAAAAGTATGCGTTAAGGTGTCTGTAATATAATAAACGTGATAGAAACGAATGTATACATGAATAAATGCATTTCTATAGCTTTTACAATGGTGAGAAAAAAGAAAAGAAAATGTATTCACTCACTAACTGTAAGTCGCTCTGGATAAGAGCCCTCAGTTTGCTGAGGTAATATAAACTTTGGCTGAGGAGAGACCGATTAAGTGAATGAATACCGTTTTTGGTGGCAACCAGCTTTGAAATTAGGATATTTTGCATCACAAACAAAGTACTTGGGTTGTGAATTGATATTAGTTTCAGCTGTAAACTAGCAAGTAAAGTTAGCCTACACCTCTGGAAGCTACCGGTATCTTATTGCATTGTAAATGTATTGTAGCCTGTATGGACATTGTTTTGCGAACAGTAATTAACAGTTTCAACATTTCTACATTCCGTGTCGCATTATTCAAGTGTGTTAGCTTCAAGTTCCTTGGTGTCCACATCACCAACGAACTATCATGGTCCAAACACACCAAGACAGTCGTGAAGAGGGCACGACAAAGCCTATTCCCCCTCAGGAGACTGAAAATATTTGGCATGGGTCCTCAGATCCTCCAAATGTTCTACAGCTGCACCATCGAGAGCATCCTGACTGGTTGCATCACCGCCTGGTATGGCAACTGCTCGGCCTCCGACTGCAAGGCACTACAGAGGGTACATCACTGGGGCCAAGCTTCCTGCCATCCAGGACCTCTATACCAGGCGGTGTCAGAGGAAGGCCCTCAAAATTGTCAAAGACTCCAGCCACCCTAGTCATAGACTGTTCTCTCTGCTACCGCACAGCAAGCGGTACCGGAACGCCAAGTCCAGGTCCAAAAGGCTTCTCAACAGCTTCTACCCCCAAGTCATAAGACTCCTGAACAGCTAATCATTGCTACCCAGACTATTTGCACTGCCCCCCCACCCCCACCCCCTCTTTTACGCTGCAGCTACTCTGTTTATTTATGCATAGTCACTTTAACTCTACCCACATGTACATATTACCTCGACTAGCCGGTGCCCCCTCACATTGACTCTGCACCGGTACCACCCTGTATATAGGCTCCCTACTGTTATTTTATTTTACTGCTGCTCTTTAGTTATTTTTTTACTTAACACTTTAAAAAATAAAATCTTTAAAAAATGCATTGTTGGTTAAGGGCTTGTAATTAAGCATTTCACTGTAATTTCTACACCTGTTGTATTCGGCGCATGTGGCAAATAAAATTTGATTTGATTTGATTTAACTTCTGTGCAGCATGAGTGGGGAGATAAACATGATCTATCCCAGACTCCCAGTGCAGGCTAGCAATGAGTATGTGGAGCAGGCACGGTGCGCTCCGTGGGGGACATCGGCTGCGCTGATGGACAGACTTGATCCGTGAGACACATTTGACAGAAGTACCGAAAGTAACACAAATTCTAGTCCCGAAACGTTTTTCATGTTCTAGAATCAAAAATGTACGGTATACCTTGCAACACTGCTAAACAGTGCTACTAGCGTCTGAAACATGCTCCCAGTGTTGCCAACTGCAGTGCTGCCAACTATTTGCTGTCCTAAAAGTCGCTACATGACGTCATCGCCTAATTTGCATAATTGGCCATGTGCATGTAATTGTGATGGACGCTGTAGGAGAGGAATAACGTTGTGGGAGAGACAAAAAGTGAGTAAAAAACACCCTAAATATATTTAGAACTACAAATGAACTTTCTTCTGTCGATTCTTGTTGTTTTTATGTCACAAATTCCAACCCTTCTCCTTTATCCGGGCTTGGGACCGGCAAAAGTGACCCAAAAGAGACACTCTCTGGCGGAGTTACTTTTTATTTTTTTTATTTTTTTAGTTTAGGTTTTCTTAAGTTTGGTTTGGTTTTTAACCATATGGTCCACTTAGGAGCCTACAACAAGTCACGGTTTAAAATGTTAATGTTTTACTATAACATTAAAAAAAAAAATTGTATACAATCTAAATGGACCAAAAAGAGACAATAGAAAAAACTGTCAATGGCAATGTGAGAAAATTATGGTAACTAGTCTGGCCCTAATTCAGGTTAATATTTATTTTTTTCAGACACCCCTCCACACACACACACAGGCTGTGCTGGCTCACAGAAAGAGTGGGTCGTCGTCATTTTGGTCAAGGCCCTCTATGGCAGGTTCAGCAACTGAGGGAGCTGACTTAAAATGAGTAAGCAGCTAATGTGCCAAAAAGCTGCAAAACATTATCAGGCAGCTGGTGCTCATAGCAAGCCTCACCAGACAGCTTCAGTCCATATCGAATGTACAGGATGGAGTTAAGGGTCTGCAAGGACATCCGATTTCTAAGTTTGCTTTTTACCACACTCATCTGGCTGAATACTCTCTCGACTTCAGCATTCGAGTGTGGCAAGGACAACACAGACACAGCAGCCATGGCAAGTTCTTGAAACGGGTTGATATCAGCTGCATCCCTGAACTTCCAAATCTCACTCCAGAAGCCCAGTGTTTTTTGTCTCATTCCATTTACTAAGATGGATGGCACGCCATTGCTGGACAATCTTGTCTATCTCTGCAGGGGAGTAGCCAAGGAGCTTGGCAATTTTTTCTATTTCTCCAGGGCTCTTATTGTGCTTTAGAGTTTTCTCCACATTGAAAACTGACATGTACTGCAATGCTTCGATGTTGTCCGGCAGTCTCACCCTCAACTCATTAGTGAAGGAGATGGTGAAGGCTACACACCGCTTTCGGACATTGTTTTCATCCTCAAGCGCAAGGTGGAGCTCAGCTGCCTTTGACTCAAAAAGGTAACCAAGGTACGGTTTGGGACTGATGTATCCATCTATTGGCCCTTTCAGTACATCAACATTTGCCAGTGAATTCAGCACCCTGCTGCTCACAGACTTGATCAGGCTAACCAAGCTATCAAGTAGCTTAAGAGGATCTACTTGCTCTCCCTCAAAAGCCTTGATGGCCAACTGTACCTCACCCTGCACTGACTTCAAAAAAGTCTGATACAACATGTTTTGAGGATCGCTGTACATGGAGTATAAAACCTCAGCCATGTAGCAGTGTTCACTGGACTTGGTGACTGTGAAATGCAGCCTAAGCTCCTCCCACTAGTCCAAAATGAGTGAAACCGCAGGTTCAATGGAGAGCCAACGTTTGGCACACACCTTGGTTATCTGTAAAGGTTTCTCCCAACAGTTGATGGTCTCATATATGGCCTTGTAGGCCTCCCTGCGCTTTGGAGACACTGAAAACCAGTTATAAGTCTCTCGTACCAAGTACTCCACACTATGGGGGATAGTGTCATTGGAAGCATGACTTACAGCAAGCTGCAGAGAGTGGCACACACAGCGAATAAGAACCAGATCTTTGAGGCCAGACTCCTCCTTCAGCACTTTATGGACCCCATTGTTAATCCCCGTCATAAGAGGCATTGTCAGTCCATATCCCCAGGAGTTTCTCTTTTTTAAGACAACACTTCTCGAGGAAAGCCACAACAGCACAGGCTATAGATTTGGCATCTCCTCCCTCCAACTCAACAAGCCCCAGAAATGTTGATACAATTGTCTGCTTGGTGTCACTAAAGTACCTTATCACAACCCCCAGGTACTTAGAAACACTTACATCCGTGGACTCATCGAGGAGGAGGCTGAAATGCTGGTCCCCCACATCTGCAACCAACCTTTTCAGAATGTATGTTGCTAGAACACTATTAATCATTTCTGTGCACTTTGTCCTGTGATAGACTGATGTGAAACTCGTCTGTATGAGTGAGGGAGATGCCATGGGATGCTGCTACTTTAGTCATCTCATCAAGCAGCTCCAAGAACCCTTCCACTGGGATGTCTAAGGAGGGAAATAAGAAGAAGTAGTGGGATGTTAAGACCGAGAGCAAACAACTCTTCAAGACAAAAACATTGTGCATGTGATGTGAGTGAATGTAGCTCTGAAGATAAGGCATTTACATGGAAAGTACACGTAAGTGGCCCAGTTTCTCCTCTCGTGTTTGAAGGATTGAATCAGTCCACCATGTTGCATGCTGTCCTCAGTCTGTGGGTCCTCATCTTCCTCTGTAAACATATCCAGCACACTGCCAGGAAGAGGCAGTCTGGACTTAGAGTCATCTTCCTCCCTGTGCACAGAGACAGTTGCTGAGATGGTCCAAACACACCAAGACAGTCATGAAGAGGGCACGACAAAGCCTATTCCCCCTCAGGAGACTGAAAAGATTTGGCATGGGTCCTCAGATCCTCAAAAAGTTATACAGCTGCACTATCGAGAGCATCCTGACTGGTTGCATCACCCCGCCTGGTATGGCAACTGCTCGGCCTCCGACCGCAAGGCACTACAGAGGGTAGTGCGAATGGCCCAGTACATCACTGGGGCCAAGCTTCCTGCCATCCAGGACCTCTATACCAGGCGGTGTCAGAAGGCCCTCAAAATTATCAAAGACTCCAGGAACTCTAGTCATAGACTGTTCTCTCTGCTACCGCACAGCAAGCGGTACCGGAGCGCCAAGTCTAGGTCCAAAAGGCTTCGTAACAGCTTACACCCCCAAGCCATAAGACTCCTGAACAGCTAATCATGGTTACCCGGACTATTTGCATTGCCCCCCCACCCCCTTTTACGCTGCTGCTACTCTGTTTATTATTTATGTATAGTCACTTTAACTCTACCCACATGTACATATTACATCAATTACCTCGACTAACTGGTGCCCCCACACATTGACTCTGTACCGGTACCCCCTACTGTTATTTTATTTTACTGCTGCTCTTTAATTATTTGCTTTTTTTAAAATCTTAAACTGCATTGTTGGTTATGGGCTTGCAAGTAAGCATTTCACTGTAATGTCTACACCTGTTGTATTCGGCGCATGTGGCAAATACAAATTGATTTCATTTGATTGTGATTACAGATATCCATGCAGGAAAACATTTAGGTTAAATGCAAGTTAAATCAATGAGACAGCCTACTATGAAATCTCTCATACTAGTATATCTAATTAATAACAAAGAATAGTTCAAACAATGTTCGGGAAAGGAACCTACCTTGCTTTGGTGGTGTGTTCCTCTGATTTGTGCTTCTTCCTTAATGAGTTGTCATCTTTGTGCCAACATCGCAGCCTTTTTGTTACATCCTCTAATAGTACATTTTCTGTTTCCTCTTCAGAGCTGCTACTGTTACTGACTAACATTCCAATATGTAAAGCTTTCAATTACAAATTCATATATACATTTTCTTGATTTCTGTCATAAAAAGAAAAATAAGAAATGGGCACAGTGACGTTACAGAAGCGTTGACCAATGAATGGCTTGCGCAGGCATGCAATATACTTCCGATAAAAACAAACCGTTGTTGTGGTAATTTATGTCCCCCTGAAACAAAGTACCGTTCAAATAGGTTCCATCTTCAGTGACGTTCTGAATAAATGTTCACAGTAGCCTATATTTAATCATCATTTACATAATGGTGGTATAATTTAACTAGCTAATTATGTGGTGTATTTAAATGTATATGTGATTATCATGTCAGAACAGAAGTGATTATTTGAAACAACCTCTATATATCAGCATCTTCATGGGTTACAAAACATAGCAAAGCAGCCACACATTTATATAGCTTTCCCGTACTTACAATCAATAACATTATTTGTGAAAATACACAACTATATTACTGTAATGCATAGCTATAAATAGAGAATCACTGAAGAAAGATAAAAGCAATTCCTTGCAGGTTCCGGGTATGTGTTGTGAGCGTGCCAATTAAACCTTGGATTATTCATGTTCCCGTGCATGGGCAGGATCTCTGAGGCTAGTCAGTTAGCTAGCTAGCGTTTTATTTAAAACATATATCGCCTTTTTGAGCGGGAGGAGTGTGGCCTAGCTATCACATATTGACAGGGCGTTGACGAAGTTAACCACTCGGGGCAAAATAGAATATTACACATTTAGTGGGGTCATTTCGAACGACACAAAAGCTCTGCATTCTTTGGCTCTAGTGCCAAACCCGCTTGAACAAGAGAGCGGCCAAATCTTCGACTGACGGAGGCTGAGTGCGGATATGAAAGGAGGTATTGTTGGGCCTACGATTTTTTTTTTCTTCTGTCAAAATCGTCAGACGCTACAAAAAAACTATCGTCAAAACGTTAAAGGTATGTTACCAGCAATACTGTCCCAAAAATGTTACTAATTTATTTACTGCGTCTGTAGATCAGTTTAATACAATAGCAGAATATTTTACTAGCAAACGCAACGTTAGCTATGCTAGCTAGCTAGCCATACAGAAATCTGCTGCTATGCTTCTGCTATATGAGACAGCGACTGCCGCCCGGCTCCGTTAACAAATGATGGGCCGTATGCGTTTCTCTCTCGTGTGGCAAATGCAATGGCGTAACTAGCTAGGTAAATCGAGTTGTTTTTCTTCGGTTTGCATTCGTGCGCAAACACCGACCAAATGGATTCTTATTGATTGTGCACGCAGTGGATGATTTGAATATGCATGCAACCAATACTGTAATCATGGGGAACACCGATCGTAAATCAACCCAAAACAATATGATTTACATATCCTGAAAGGAGTAACGTTAAGGGCATTACTAGGCATGAGTGCTCACCCGATAGAATGTTTAGAAAAATAGCCTGGTGTACTTGGACGCACCAGTTTTAAATATTGTCTGCCTCCCTAAAATACATTTAAAAGAACAACCTGGACTCAGGGGTAGACGTGTTTCCCTCCATTTAGTATGATATGTTACGTTTCATATGGTATGTATTAATTTGTGGATGTCCATCATGTATGATATGTTACGAATTGCAATTTGTACAATATGTTACGAATTTGTAAATAGGTATGACATGTTATGTATTCCAATTTGTTGTGGCTAATGTTAGCTATGTGGTTAACGTTAGCAAGACTAGGAGTTAGGTTAAAGGGTTAAGGTTAGGTGAAGGGTTAACAACATGCTAAGTAGTTGCAAAATAGCTACAAAGTAGTATGTAAAGTTGTCCAAGATGAGATTCGAACATGCCACCTTTTGGGTTGCTAGACGTTTGCGTTTATATGTCCACCCCGACCAACCACCCTCCTTTTGCCTTAAGTAACCTTACTTCTTATGTAATATACTAAACTTAATATATCCTAGTAATCTGAGTGTGCCGTATTTACATTTACTATGTTATGTCTAGTCTATGAGACCAGGTTGAAAAGAAGGGCATGCCCTTGGATATGGCTATTTTGTTGTGTGTTTGTGGTGATGGATCATTAGACAAGTAAGCTGGAATAAAGTAGCCCTCCACAGCTGCTTTTTAATCTGATGGATGGATAGAGTAGTAGCAGTGTTGTTTTCTGACCTGCTTCCTCTGAAGTCTATCCTTTTGGGCTCTGATAATTATTCTGTTGTCTCAGGGGAAGTCTCTGTGAAACTGAGATTTTGCACTTCTTCTAGGATGCCATACCGCACACATTACTAGTGAATAGTTTAATAATAATTGTTCCCTTTTTCTGCAGTTATCAGAAGAGGACTGAAGACTCATGGAGACAGTGGGTTTTATTTTTTTCTAAATTTAAATGTCTTTGCAGCAGGTGTTCTTCCTCTGCATATAATTTTCAGACACCTAATCTATTGCATCCTAAAAACAAGCCCTTTTTTAAATATATTTTTATTTAGTGATGTTCTCCACTGAAATGGCAGACTAAATTACTGACTTTCCACACTACCGACCCGTCCACCAATCAATGTACCTTAGATTTTTCTTCATAAAAGCCCCCACTACGATACAAAACTGAATCCCTACACGAGAGCCAGGATGAGTGAGGCGTGGCAGCAGCATGCTGTTGCTCCCCCTCCGGTGGTGCACACCATACCACCGGGGGCGGAGAACGCATTGGGCTGCGCCGTCTATGGTATCGTCCTGCAGCCTGACCCCACTCTGCAGCAGTCGCAGCAGCAGCAGCACCAGCATGGCCAGCAGCACAGCCAGCAGCATGGGCAGCAGCAGCACCCTACCCAGGTACAGCAGCCCTCTCTGCAGGTAGGGGGCGAGGGCGGTCACAAGTGTGGAGCATGCGGCCACGACATCTCCCACCTGGCCAACCCACATGAGCACCAGTGTATGGTGAGCCAGGACCGCTCCTTCCAATGCACCCAGTGCATGAAGATCTTCCACCAGGCCACTGATCTGCTGGAGCACCAGTGTGTGCAGGTGGAGCAGAAGCCCTTTGTGTGTGGTGTGTGTAAGATGGGCTTCTCCCTGCTCACCTCGCTGGCACAGCACCACACCTCGCACAACAGCACCAACCCCATGAAATGCTCCATCTGTGAGAAGACCTACCGACCGGGCTCCTCTGGGAACACCACGCCCTCCTCCTCTGCCACCAACCCTCAGCAGCCATCTGCTGATGGAGCCTCCTCCAGTGGGAGTGCGACAGTGGGATCCTCTTCCTCAATTACATTTCCATCGGCCCGTGACAGGCCCTACAAGTGTTCCGTCTGTCAGAAGGGTTTCAGGCACCTGTCAGAGCTGGCCCGCCACGAGCGTGTGCACACCGGAGAGAAGCCCTTCAAGTGTGACACATGTGACAAGAGCTTCAGCCAGTCCTCTCACCTGGCCCATCACCAGCGCACCCACAGCTCAGAGCGTCCATACAAATGTGCTGTGTGTGACAAGAGCTTCAAGCACCGCTCCCACCTGGTGCGCCACATGTACGCCCATTCCGGAGAGCACCTGTTTAAGTGCAACCTGTGTGAACTGCACTTCAAGGAGTCTTCTGAGCTGCTGCATCATCCATGCCACCCACAAGGGGCACGCCCCTTCCGCTGTGCAACCTGTGGAAAGGGCTTCAAGCGTCCATCAGACCTGCGGCAGCATGAGCGCACTCACTCTGAGGAGCGTCCCTTCCACTGTGAGGAGTGCCAGATGAGTTTCAAACAGCAGTATGCCCTGGTGCGACACAGGCGCACACACAAAAACCCATCTGACCGCCCCTTCAAGTGCAACCTTTGTGACAAAGGCTTCTTGCAGCCATCCCATCTGCTGTACCACCAGCACGTCCACGGCATGGAGAACCTGTTCAAGTGCGCGTCCTGCCAGAAGGAATTCAGTCAGTCAGGAGAGCTGCTGCGCCACAAATGTGGTGAGTCGTCCTCTTCATCTAGGGAGACAGACAAGCCTTACAAATGTGACGTGTGCGGCAAGGGATACAAGAAGAGTTCAACACTGCAGCGACATCAGAACTCGCACTGTCAAGAGAAGCCCCTGAAGTGCTCCCTTTGTGACCGCCGCTTCCTGTCATCCTCAGAGTTTGTGCAGCACCGCTGCGACCCGTCCCGAGAGAAGCCCCTCAAGTGTCCCGAATGCGAGAAGCGCTTCAAGTACTCGTCTGACCTGAATCGGCACAAGCGTGTCCACACCGGGGAGAAGCCCTACAAGTGTGCTAGCTGTGATAAAGGCTTTAAGCAACGGGAGCACCTGGCCAAGCATCAGAGTGTGCATTCCAGAGATGCCCAGTTCAAGTGTGTTTGGTGTGGAGAGCGCTTTGGAGACCTGGGAGCTTTGCAGGAGCACACAGTCCAGCACACAGCTGAAGGAGGGGGTTACCCTGTGCCACCTTGCATATAGTCACACCCCTCCGCTCTGTACAAGTTCATAGCAAACGTCCCTGTCTACCATTAATTTGCAGCACCCAGCTTAACACACTTGAACTGGGCATCTCTGGAGTGCACACTCTGGTGCTTTCCAGAGATGCCCAGTTCAAATGCTTTGGAGACCTGGGAGCCTTGCAGGAGCACACAGTCCAGCACACATCTGAAGGAAGGGTTACCCGATGGTAGGTTACGCTGTGCCACTTTGCATATAGACATACCCTTCCCTTCTTTTCCAGTCCATAGCAAATGTCCCTGCCTACTCTTAATTTTCCCCCAGCATATACAATCCATACCCTCACTCCCATCTGAAAACTGATACCAGTCCACTCCCCCCCACACCCTAAGAAACCCATACAATTTATAATTGTAAAAAAAAAATAGAAGTCACTGCTTTAGGGCTACCATCTGAAAGACAGAGGAGGAGAAGCCAACAAGGATATGTCTTTCACTTCAAACCCTAGGGTGGATGTTCTAGCCCAGGTCAATTACCCTATCTATCCTTACCTTCTTGAATCAACTTCCCTGCAAGTGGGGAAAAAAATAAGAAATGTAAATCACCACATTAGCCTACATTTCTGTCTATGAAAAGCTTTGCATTTGTACATAAATTACCTTGTAGATAAAATACAGAAAAAGAAAAGGGGGATGTGGACCAGTTCCCCTTGTGATGACCTGCTTGACTGGTGTTAAGGGTTGCACCATGACCCATAACTATTCTCTTGTCAACAGTGGTTGTCACTCTAGAACCCATCTACAGAGATCCTGCATGCATTGTTACATTCTCTTACCCAGGATACTCAAGACTTATGTGATTGCTAAGTTTCAGCAGCTGCTACAGTCTACTGATGGCCTCATGCTTTTATTTTTATTTTGGAATCAATTACTCTGTATCAACTCTGATTTATAAAATGTTTTGCTTGGTGGGTGGAGGGTCAAGATTATTGTGTATTGGTTACTTTTCCACAACCTCATCACTGTAGTAGCAGTGTATGCATATCAGGAAATGGAACCGGTACAGGGAACAGAACAGACAAAAATTGAGGACCAGAATCAGAACCAGGAACGAAAGTGATCTATACTTTTCCGGAACAGAACCGTTATTTTAAAAGCATGGGAACCGGTTAATAACATTATTTTACGTTCCAGGTATTTTTTTTCTCCAGTCCCACAAACACAACAATGCGCTTATGCAAAGCCCTCACTCTGTCACTCAGAAAATATTTGCGAGTGTGTGTAGGTTACCTGTCCCTCCCCCTCCGACGCACTGTAGCCTACTGACGTTACAAGTGTGATTCAGAAATTAGAGATTTTTTTTATTAGAGAAGAATGTATTCACTTTTTCAATGCTGGATAACTATAGCATCCTTATCATGTTTCACATTGGATTTATTAACTACAAAAAGGTAAGATGTGTTTTTATTTGAATTCTGGTGTCGCTCTGCACACACAAGCTTGTTAGCTAGCTCTCGTCCAACTTTAAGCCAACTCTTCTCAAGTTCAAGGACATTCAAAGTTCCTACTTAGAAGCCGCTCCTCCGTAGGTATAATTGTGTGGGCCTAATTCAGATAATGCATGTCATAACAAGATGCCCAGCACTTCAAGCCGCCTCCTCCACCCTCTCTCGAGCTCTCCCCACCTGCAAAATTTCAGTCACATCTCGCGCCCTACACTTGTCTGACGTCTATTGCATGTGTAAACAACTATCGCTTGCCCGCGCCATAGCAAGCTGTTCTATCCACACTGATTGGTGAAGTAATTTAATGTCGAGCTAAATGTAGAGATTTTAAAAGGAATGATATAAACCATTACTTTTTTGGGTGGAACGTAACGGTGGAACGTAACGGGAAAAAAGAATGGTTCTGTTCTTCAGAACGAAACAATTGGAAAATAATTTTGGTTCCTACCCCTGATGTATATACAATAAAATCACACCTCTACTCTTTGCTTTGGTATTTTTACGCTTTTTTATGTACACGTATCAACTCCAACTAGAAGTGTTTTTTTTATTTTTTATTGTGCTATTGTGAAATATTACAAATGTTTGTGAGTGTATGTGAAAGTATATGTGGCCATCATTGTGGCAACTACAGTTTGTACCAAAACACCATTGTACTGCACCAGATCCCAAAGGTGTGGAGATTAACCAGCTGAAGTATCAATACTTCTCACTGCTATACAGAAATATATATTTCACACTAATATACAGTTCATATTCCTACAGAGATCAGTGAGAGATCTGTGCTGAAAATGTCTAAAACCTGATCAAACTTCCTCTTACGGCGTGTATGTAGTACAGTATGTATGTGAGTATGTTTACCAGTTTGGTTACAGAAGTTGCATAATTGTCTCTAAAACTGCATTGGCTGTTTTGTATTTTAACTTTTTATCATATGGGGACTTTAAATGTTTTTCATCTTTTGAAGTCATAGTTATGATAGTGGTGGTATGTTGCAAGTTTCCAAGGAGAACATTCTGTCTGTAAGCCCTAAAAGGATTCTGACCCCTGGTGCTCCTTTGAGTGTATTCGGATGAATGATTGTTGAGTCATGTCTGTGAAAATGGAATCCTAGCTGTGAAGTGAATTGTATAAAACATACATTTGGTGTAGAATTTTGGTAGGTCTGTATAGTTTTAGTTAACCCCAGTTATGTCAGAAACTTATCTGCAGTATATTTGTGCAGATCATGTTAACTTCTGGTTTTTATAGCCTTTTTTTTATAGCATCCTTACCAAAATGGGCTGCTTAAGCTTGATTGCAAAAATAATGGATTGAACCTCTTTGTAGTCTAAATGGTAAGGCAACTAATAAGGTTAAAATCTGTGTGAACTTTGAGGGCAAATTCAATGTGGCTCAAATTGAACTCAACTTGTGTTTTTGTGTGTGGGGGGGGTCTTATTTTTATGGAAGTATTTCAAGGGGACATGTTTTGTCCCATTTGGTTGTGGATTTGTGGTTTGAGTGCAGTATTGGAAAACAATTTTATGATAAAGTAATGCTAACTTTGAGGAAGGTTCTTTTTATATTCAGTTTCAGTAGACTGTTAAACTGGGGTCAGGGTTATTTAGAAACCCATTCTACTCCATCTGACTGCCTCCATGTTGTTGCTCTGTTTCTTGTACTGTGCTGTGTGTTTTCTCCATCATCATCATCATCATCATCTGAGGTGGGCTAACAGTTGGTGTCATTTGTCTGTCGTGTTCGTCTTTCATCTGGCATTAAGACAACATCAAAGAGCAGTTGCAAATTTAATTAAAAAGAAAAGTACTGTATATGTTTAGTTTACATTTTATATTAATATTATTTTAAAATCTATATGAATATCTATATTCTTGGAAGGAGTTAACAGGGCCTTTTAGGATGTAATGGGGAAAATGTTTGATTGATGGAAAGGTCATTAGGACTGTGATTGACATGACTTTTGATCTGGTGTAGTGCATAACGGTTAGCCCCTGCCTATTGACCCTGCTTTCTCTGTTCTGTGCATGCCTGCTGTGTTAGTAACTGTAATCTGTCCCAGGTATTAGTGCTTCAGATGGCACTTATTCCGCATAGCTTTTTTCAAATTGTTGTATGTGAATGATGTAGTAAAAAAATAATCGTGACAACGTACAGTATGTGTACATTCATGCTAAGATATCTGTATGTAGCATTCAATACACACAGCACTAACAAATAAACTTTTTTCATTTATAAAGGGGGGGTGTCATATATGTCTAATTGGAGAGGGGACTGATGTATTCTTTCAGGGTTTTTTATGTAGATTAGGTAGTTAAACAATATGACAAGATGTGTACATTCACTAAAGTCACATTTTCTCATTTGTAATATGGTGTGTAACACTTGCTTAAATACAGACAATAACATGTCCTTTATGCTACCAAGTAGAATGACACTGCACTTACCATTGATAATGTAGTACACAAATATAACACTCATTTTCTAGTTAATTGTAGTCTTGGTTAACCCAGAACTAAAATCTTGCATAATTTGGTCACACTACAAAATGTTACTCAAGTGTTCACTTTGATAAAAGCACCAGATTTGGTACAGCTGTAGATTTATGTACCCTGAAAAGATTTAGATATGGAGCCACTGCAGATTTGGCCCCTGAGGGGGCGTGGCAGCCATTTTTCAAAATTGCCTCTGACTGTAACACTTAATATAGAGGACTGCTTTGTGGTAAAGGCACCAAATTAGTCATAGAGCTAGATTTATGGACCCTGAAAAGATTTAGATATGGAGCCACCCCAGATTTGGGCCATGGCGGCCATCTCACAAAATGGCTGCCGACTACCACTATTTTACAGTTCAGAAGGACTATTTTGAGAGATGCATTTGACACGGAAGTACATTTACGTAGCTTGAAAATATTTAGATGTGGAGCCACAACAGATTTGGCCCCTGGGGGCTGTGACTGCCATCTTACAAAATGGCCACTGTCGGTAATACGTTGCAGTTCTGAAGGCTTTTTTGTTAGATAAACAACAAATTTAGGACAGAGATAAATGTATGTACTCTGAAAAGATCTGGCAGCAATCTTACAAAATGCATTTGACCCCAATTAGGCTATATGTTAGTTTCGAGATCCTTGTGTACATCTCCCAATGTTTTGGTAACATACCTGCTATTGGTTCATATATGGCATTGGTTGATGTACATTGTACAGCATACAATTGAATACAAGGTGTCTGGTCAGGTCCAAAGCCACGAGATATTGCTTAGTAGCCAATAGTAAGTTAGCTGCTTAGTTACAGGGCTTTTGATGCTGTGCTGATCTCTTTTGATATTCTGTCTGTTGCTCCACTGACTCAATAATACAGTGCATTCGGAAAGTATTCAGAACCCTTGACTTTTTCCACATTTTGTTACGTTACAGCCTTATTCTAAAATGGGGAAAAATAATTTAATCAATTTTAGAATAAGGCTGTAACGTAACAAAATGTTTAAAAAAATCAAGGGGTCTGAATACTTTCTGAATGCACTGTAATTATCTTAATATAGCTGTGAGCAGCAATGAATGGGGTTCACAGGATGACAAATAGAACTCGATCAGTTGGATAACAAAGCAAGCACTATCATGTAGGAACTATCTTCCTTTATGTGCAATCATGAGTCTAAATAAAAAATGTGCTAATATGCATCTACTGGTATAGTTTGGCCATCTTTGAATGCATTAACATTATTTTCTCACTCTTCAGGGCCTATTGTGATGAGACCAAATTTGGAGAGAATCAGATTATTTTAAGCAAAAGTGTTACATTGTAAAAAAAACCTGAATTGTTAATATACTGAACAAAAATATAAACGCAACATGTAAAGTGTTGGTCCCATGTTTCATGAGATGAAATAAAAGATCCCAGAATTTTTCCATACGCACAAATAGCTTATTTCTGTCTAATTTTGTTTACATAAAGGCGAAAGAAACGCACACCTATTTAGGCGAGGTGCTGGCTGACGACGTAAAACACTTGAAAAGGAAAGCCGCACACTCTAGGAGCTCAGATGCAATAATTTAATATCCTAATAACCAACGTTTCGACAGACAAGCTGTCTTCATCAGGGCTTTCCTTTTCTTTTTCATACATTTGTTTACATCCCTGTTGGTGAGCATTTCTCCTTTGCCAAGATAATCCATCCACCTGGCAGGTGTGGCATATCAAGAAGCTGATTAAACAGCATGATCATTACCTAGGTGCACCTTGTGCTGGGGACAATAAAAGGCCACAATAAAATGTGCAGTTTTGTCACACAACACAATGCCACAGATGTCTCAAGTTTTGAGGGAGCGTGCAATTAACATGCTGACTGCAGGAATGTCCACCAGAGCTGTTGCCAGAGAATTTAATGTTCATTTCTCTACCATAAGCCAACAACATCGTTTCAGAGAATTTGGCAGTACGTCACAACCGCAGCCCACGTGTAATCACGCCAGCCAAGGACCTCCACATCCGGCTTCTTCACCTGCGGGATTGTCTGACACCAGCCACCTGGACAGCTGATGAAACTGAGGAGTATTTCTGTCTGTAATAAAGCCCTTTTGTGGGGAAAAACTCATTCTGATTGGCTGGGCCTGTCTCCCCAGTGGGTGGGCCTATGCCCTCCAAGGCCCACCCATGGCTGCGCCCCTGCCCAGTCATGTGAAATCCATAGATTACGGCCTAATGAATTTATTTCAATTGACTGATTTCCTTATATGAACTGTAACTCAGTAAAATCGTTAATTGTTACATGTTGCGTTTTATATTTTTGTTCAGTATAATTTCCTTATTTTTTAAGATATCAATGCCAAACTTAACATGGTTCATCATGGTAATATCTTTGATGATCCTAAAAGGTTTCAAGTTAATAGGCCATTGTGAAGTGGATGTACAAAGGATTGAAAAGGACACGTAGAATCTGATATCCGGATTTATCAATAACTCAGCCATCTCTTATTAACCAATCCCTTAGCTTTTCTCAAATTAAGTTAAGAGATGTACCATGGGCCTACGAATTTGGTGTTATTTGGACATAGTTCATGAGAATAACTTTTTCAAAGGGTTTCCAAGATGGAGGAAAATCTATCCTGATGGACCTTATGGGTTCTTGAGGCAAATTTGTTCAGCATGAGGAAAGATGCCTAAACTTTGTATGTAGGCCAATCGGTGCCATTCCTTTTGACAAAGTTACTCATGGCCTTTAGTGTCTGTGTGCCAAATTAGAAAAAAGTTACCAATCTATGCTTGAGTTATTTGACCAAGTCAAGGAATTTTTTACAATCTAATAATAACATTGATGGTTTTGGAGGTCCCTCAGATCAACAATCGCCACCAAAAATCCATGGCATACTAAACTGTGGCATAGCCTTTACTTTGATGAAATAGAAGAACATTATATTAAACTGCAAGTAGAAAAACTATAGTGTCATACTTTTGTTAATGAAACAGAGTTTGAAAGTAAAATATTCTGTGTGCCAGCCACAGCTCTTGTCTGACTGAAGCACAGCTTGAGAAATTGTCCACAGCAATTGTGAACTATTCCAACTTAATGGCTGGGATATTTGACAGTTACAGCTGTCGTTAGAAAGTATTTTCTCCTTGCATTGCAAAGTAGCTTTAGTAGCCATTTGTTTAAATATACATGTAGAATGTGAACCCGTCACACGCCCGGGAACCCAACATCTTAATCAGTAGACCAAAAAAATATTCCATTCTGGGCTGAGGCTGGTTTTAAGTCGCAGGCAGGGCTACCTCATTAACAGAGCGTTCTAACTCACCTCCGCTACATGCCTGCTGTATTTCCCTCTGTACTCATTGTATTATACCAGGGTTCCCCAACTGGCGGCCCGCGGATGATATAATTTGCCCCCCCCCCCCCCCCCCAATGTTTTCTGAGCAAAAAAAATTAATGTATTTTTTATTGTTGAACATAAAAGACTGTAAAAACACCAGCAAATTAGCTCTACGTGATTTTCAATTTGGAAATTTGTTCCATAGAATTCCCACGCATAATAGAGAGATGTATGTGATTGTATACAAATGTAAGCAAGGTTTGAAATTATTATGTTTTAGTCAAATATTATATCTGTTTGGGCTTCTTTGCAGTCTACAAATTATTTGTAATTATGTTCCAGCCACTTGACGATCCACTCAAGAAACAATCGTCCGCGGCTGAATCTAGTTGATCCCTGTATTATACTGTGTGTAACTGTTAAACCTTTTGGTTTTCAGGAGATCCAGGCCAAGAAGTATAGGCCATTACTTTTAAGTACTTTTAAGTCCAATAAGTATAGGCCATGACGTTTTGTAGATTAAAGGTTTACAAAATAGTGGTACAGTCTGGGGCCATTTAGTAAGATGGCTGCCAGGGCCAAATCTGCGGTGGCGCCATATCTAAAAACAGCTAAAACACGAGTTACATTATAAGGGGGGTTTATATCTCAGATAGTTTACAAAAGAGACTGATGGATTTATGACTGTTTTGGATGATTGAATATTTGCAGAGAATAGATTTATTAGGAAGCATGTGCGGGTTCACCGGGCTGTGACTGGTCCCGCTCCTGCAGCTTTCTTCAGCTTGTTCCAGGTCTTGGTGTGTGTCTTCAGAGCCATCTGTATGGATGGGATGGATATCAGGAACTTTCTGGTTCTATAATGATAATTTCAGAACTGCATGTTCCTTACCCAACTTGATAACATTACTTAAAAAGGGTACCTACGTAGGTAAGGACTTAATAACAATTTACAAATTCATAAGCAGAACAGAAGCCAACCGCAATACAAAATGAAAATATTATTATGAATGTGTTATGAAGTATGTACGTACCTTCTGTAGGTACCCTTCATAAGTAAAGTTATAACTCTAACCTACAACCTTGTCTCTCACCTCAGAGATCTTGACTTTTCGTTCCCAGGCCCGGACACTCTGCTCGAGCTGGCTATGGGAGGCCTTAGCTGTGATGTATTGCAGCACGTGGGGAACACGGAAGTCTGCCAGCTGGCCTCGCAGCTTTCTGTTAAGAGTCTCTGCCTTGGCTCGCTCCTGCCCAAGAAGGACACAGAGAGGGGGATATTAGCCTACCCACCAGCAGTGTTGCAAACATGGCTGACTAGTTGGCTACAAAACTTGTATGATATTGGTTAAAAACTAAACAGGTGAATGTTAAATTGACCTCTTCTGCCTGCAGTGTCTCCTCCTCGATCTTCACCAGCATCTCCTTACGGGAGGCGATGTCACTACTAAGCAGCTTTGACTCACATGTCATGCTCTGCAGCTTCTTCTGCAATGGGAACAACAACACATTTCCTTATCAAACTCCCAAACCCCCACGTACCTAGTAACACAACACAGGTAAAGTACCTTAGTTGGGCCTGGGTGATGAAATTAAGCCTTGAGAGGTAGATCCCTTGAGATAAACTGATAAAACTCAAGTTCAGATTCCCCAACCAGGAATATATAATTCCACTCTCCTGAACCTGATCACACCCCTGCACAAGAAAAGAGAAATGAGATGTACATACAACAGTGTTTGAATAGGAATCAAACCTTGTAGGAGTTGAGAACCTGCAGGGTGTTTCCTGCCAGGAGTTTTAGGCGCAGAATGTCCTGGTTTCTTTCATCAATGCGTTTGAGATACTGGCTGTTCTCGATCTTCAGCTGCTGGAAATCCACCTCGTGCAGGGCTTCACCCATTTCCTCTTTCTGTCGTAGCTGTAACTGCAGCTTCCTCTTCTGCACATGGAGAGCTGCATTCTTCAACCGCAGCTTCTCAACCAGTGTGTCCTGTATGATGAAGTAAAGGTAGCAGCAGGATGAGATGAACACATGATGAGGTCAGAGAAACAGGGCAGCAGTCGGTAACAGTGAATGCTGATATTGAAGCTTGCATTACTTCCAAGATTTGTAATTCAAGTGAGGAACCAAATGTGATTTAAGAACTCTGACCTGACCACCCTGCATGACATGCTGCTTGCTTACCTTTGCTCTCATCCTGTCCTCAAAATAACGAATGACCTTCTCTGCTCCCATCATGACACCTCTCTTCTCCCTCAACACCTTAGCGACATCACGGTCAAACTCATAACTTGCTTTCTTGACCTCCACAAGTCGAATATCTGCTTCCTCCAGAGTTGCCTGATATGGGGAAGGGGCCCAGAAATGATTGGTTATCAAGCTTTTGATATAATAATCCCAGAAATCTGAATGGGTTTCAGTGCATCTTAACTACATAGACCACAGCTAAACCAAATCACAGATTCCTCTGCAGGTTACACAGATCCAGAATAGTCTTTCTCTCTCCGTTCTCTCTCTGTTTGTATGTTGTGTTTACCTTATAGTTGTGGAGCACTCTCTCTGAGCTCTCCTTCAGTTTCTCCAGGTCCTCCCTGGTTTCATCTAACTCTCTCTGTGCCATGTCACACTTTTGCTCCAATGTCAGACGTTGCAACTGCTCCAGAGCCATTGTCCGTGTTTTAATCTTTCTCCCACGGCCCTGAACAATAGAAATACAAGCATGCAAACATGCAGTAATAACCCTTATTTTTCTATGGTAATAATACACACACTTTGTATTTCCCACACAAGCCTTAGCCAACCATATAATAATACCGGTAGGCTTAGGGCTATTCATCCCCAGCCCCAGCATCCTGAAATGGAGAAAGTTAACAGGACTCATATTTGTAACTAATAACCGGCCAAGACTAGGATATGTGTTGTCAAACTTGAACAGAAGACTTATACCTATGAGGTTATAGTGGACGACGAGACTATAGCGCATGAGTCAATCACAAGAGATCAAATACCATTTAGGGCAGGGCAATACATTTCATTCAACACATTACGTTGGTGGAAGTTGTGCAAGATGCTTTCTCATACCCCTCCGATCTCCAACTGTGATGCTGCAGCTGCTCCCAGGGAATCTGATAAAGGCTGAGGAACCAAGTCCCTGGGGTCCAAGCGGCTAATATACCGCTCATACATATCCGTTTCTGCCCGGAGCACCGCATTGGAGCGTCTGGAAAAAGAGGCATTGAGGGACAAGGCTGTGCTAGGCCTTTTGGTTTTGCGCCCACAAATTGCTACTCTAAGTAGCAAATCTGTGAGTTAAGACGAGTTCAGAAGTGTTGAAACTGAAACATATTTTTTATACCTGAGTTCTTTGACGAGTTCAACGAGATGTCGTTTATCCGCTTCAGAAACATCTTGAACCATCTCCGCCATGGTTGCTAAGGTAAACAAATTGGTGCGAGAGGCGGTTGCTGCGTCTGCGCAGACCAGCCATGACGGATATAATTCTAAATTATGGGACTAGCACACGTAAAATCAGACAATTTATTTGATAGGTCTAAATAAGAGTTAATTGTTGCGGATTTTAGAATATTCGCATGAAAATCTGTGCCAATTGGATGGAAATCAATTATATATATATAGATACAGTACCAGTCAAAAGTTTGGACGCACCTTCTCATTCTAGGGGTTTTCTTCATTTGTACAATTTTTTAGTGAAGACATCAAAACTATGAAATGACACATATGGAATCATGTAGTAACCCAAAAAGTGTTAAACAAATCAAAATATATTTTATATTTGAGATTCTTCAAATAGCCACCCTTTGCCTTGATGACAGCTTTGCACACTCTTGGCATTCTCTCAACCAGCTTCACCTGGAATGCTTTTCCAACAGTCTTGAAGGAGTTCCCACATATGCTGAGCACTTGTTGGCTGCTTTTCCTTCACTCTGCCGTGTGACTCATCTCAATTGGGTTGAGGTTGGGGGATTGTGGAGGCCAGGTCATTGTCCTGTTGAAAAACAAATGATAGTCCCACTAAGCCCAAACCAGATGGGATGGCGTATCGCTGCAGAATGCTGTGGTAGCCATGCTGGTTAAGTGTGCCTTGAATTATAAATAAATCACAAACAGTGTCACCAGCAAAGCACCCCCACACCATTACATTTTTACATTTTAGTCATTTAGCAGACGCTCTTATCCAGAGCGACTTACAGTTAGGGAGTGCATACATCACACCTCCTCCTCCATGCTTTACAGTGGGAACTACACATGCGGAGATCATCCACTCACCCACACCGCATCTCACATAGACATGGCGGTTGGAATATGTGCTTTCTTGAGCAGGGGGACCTTGCGGGCGCTGCAGGATTTCAGTCCTTCACGGCGTAGTGTGTTAACAATTGTTTTCTTGGTGACTATGGTCCCAGCTGCCTTGAGATCATTGACAAGATCCTCCCGTGTAGTTCTGTGCTGATTCCTCACCGTTCTCATGATCATTGCAACTCCACGAGGTGAGATCTTGCATGGAGCCCCAGGCCGAGGGAGATTGACACTTATTTTGTGTTTCTTCCATTTGCGAATAATCGCACCAACTGTTGTCACCTTCTCACCAAGCTGCTTGGCGATGGTCTTGTAGCCCATTCCAGCCTTGTGTAGGTCTACAATCTTGTCCCTGACATCCTTGGAGAGCTCTTTGGTCTTGGCCATGGTGGAGAGTTTGGAATCTGATTGATTGATTGCTTCTGTGGACAGGTGTCTTTTATACAGGTAACAAACTGAGATTAGGAGCACTCCCTTTAAGAGTGTGCTCCTAATCTCAGCTCGTTACCTGTATAAAAGACACCTGGGGCCAGAAATCTTTCTGATTGAGAGGGGTCAAATACTTATTTCCCTCATTAAAATGCAAATCAATTTATAACATTTTTTTACATGCGTTTTTCTGGATTTTGTTGTTGTTATTCTGTCTCTCACTGTTCAACTAAACCTACCATTAAAATTATAGACTGATCATGTCTTTGTCAGTGGGCAAACGTACAAAATCAGCAGGGGATCAAATACTTTTTTCCCTCACTGTATTTTGATTTGTTTAACACTTTTTTGGTTACTACATGATTCCATATGTGTTATTTCATCGTTTTGGTGTCTACACTATTATTCTACAAAGAAAAAAAAGACACAAAAAAAGAAAAACCCTTGAATGAGTAGGTGTGTCCAAACCTTTTAATGGTAGTGTACATAAACTCAGCAAAAAAAGAAACGTCCTCACTGTCAACTGCGTTTAATTTCAGCAAACTTAACATGTGTAAATATTTGTATGAACATAACAAGATTCAACAACTGAGACATCAACTGAACAAGTTCCACAGACATGTGACTAACAGAAATTGAATAATGTGTCCCTGAACAAAGGGGGGGTTAAAATCAAAAGTAACAGTCAGTATCTGGTGTGGCCACCAGCTGCATTAAGTACTGCAGTGCATCTCCTCATGGACTGCACCAGATTTGCTAGTTCTTGCTGTGAGATGTTAACCACTCCTCCACCAAGGCACCTGCACGTTCCCGGACATTTCTGGGGGGAATGGCCCTAGCCCTCACCCTCTGATCCAACAGGTCCCAGACGTGCTCAATGGGATTGAGATCCGCGCTCTTCGCTGGCCATGGCAGAACACTGACATTCCTGTCTTGCAGGAAATCACGCACAGAACGAGCAGTATGGCTGGTGGCGTTGTCATGCTTGAGGGTCATGTCAGGATGAGCCTGCAGGAAGGGTACCACATGAGGGAGGAGGATGTCTTCCCTGTAACGCACAGCGTTGAGATTGCCTGCAATGACAACAAGCTCAGTCCGATGATGCTGTGACACACCGCCCTAGACCATGACGGACCATCCACCTCCAAATCGATCCCGCTCCAGAGTACAGGCCTCGGTGTAACGCTCATTCCTTCAACGATAAACACGAATCCGACCATCACCCCTGGTGAGACAAAACCGCGACTCGTCAGTGAAGAGCACTTTTTGCCAGTCCTGTCTGGTCCAGCGACGATGGGTTTGTGCCCATAGGCGACGTTGTTGCCTGTGATGTCTGGTGAGGACCTGCCTTACAACAGGCCTACAAGCCCTCAGTCCAGCCTCTGTCAGACTATTGCGGACAGTCAGAGCACTGATGGAGGGATTGTGCGTTCCTGGTGTAACTCTGGCAGTTGTTGTTGCCATCCTGTACCTGTCCCGCAGGTGTGATGTTAGGATGTACCGATCCTGTGCAGGTGTTGTTACACGTGGTGTGCCACTGCGAGGACGATCAGCTGTCCGTCCTGTCTCCCTGTAGTGCTGTTTTAGGCATCTCACAGTACGGACATTGCAATTTTTTGCCCTGGCCACATCTGCAGTCCTCATGCCTCCTTGCAGCATGCCTAAGGCACGTTCACGCAGATGAGTAGGGACCCTGGGCATCTTTCTTTTGGTGTTTTTCAGAGTCAGTAGAAAGGCCTCTTTAGTGTCCTAAGTTTTCATAACTGTGACCTTAATTGCCTACCGTCTGTAAGATGTTAGTGTCTTAAGGACTGTTCCACAGGTGCATGTTCATTAATTGTTTATGGTTCATTGAACAAGCATGGGAAACAGTGTTTAAACCCTTTACAATGAAGATCTGTGAAGTTATTTTGATTTTTACGAATTATCTTTGAAAGACAGGGTCCTGAAAAAGGGACGTTTCTTTTTTTTGCTGAGTTTAGTAGCTAGGTTTCCATCCAATCAGTGACAGATTTTCATGCAAATATTCTCAAATCTGTGAATATACTAAAATCCGCATTAAGAAAATAGTGCGTTTCCACCAAACAGACTTGTTGCAGATAAAAGTCAGTACATGATGAGGTAGTGCACACAAAATGACGTTTTTCGCTCAAGTTTTAATGTACCGAATAAAATCAAAAGTTCAATGTCTTTCCATCACATTTTCAACTCTACGGATAGTTTTGTCACAAAAACTTGCGTTAAATAGCATATTTGTCTACTCTGGTTTTGGCAGATGGCTATAGCCAACAGTTTGCAGATACAGTTCGGGTAGGCTAGTCTGCATGATAAGATTATTATTGATAAGAGCGATAATATTTGTATTTGTCAAACGGCAGTCAAGCAACAATCATCATGTCACCAGAATAAGACCCTCGATATTTATTGGAAATGTGCATCAAGATAACCGTGCACTTTCACTACCCCGTGAAGTTAATCATAATTTATTTAATCTGTAGCCTAATAACCTGCATGGTTTCCCCTTAGTCATTGTGGGAGGACTACACACCATATAATCGCGTGACTCCAAATTTACTTTGATATGATGGTTATTATATTAATATTTGCGCATAAAGGCGTTTCCACCACCATTTCTCACATAATTAATTTTACCGACACAAAAGATCCCACCATGTCAAACGAACAAATTATCTGTTGCCATTTATAAAATTGTACCGAAACTACTTGTTTCCACCACATCTGTCGTGATTTTTTAAAAAGTGTATGATTTTACTCGCATAAAAACTGTGGATGTAAACGTGGTTAGTGATGGAACAATTGTTTTCAATGCATGTGTATATCCTACACGCTAGAAGGCGCTGCAGCCTTGGCTAAACCTGGAGTCATATGGACACAGAGTTTCTAAACCCAGAGGCGCAACATCACAAAACTTCTGGGAACGCTTGCGGAACAGAACTAACAGACCTGGCCAGGGTCTGGGGTTTGAGAAGTCAATGAGAGAAGTGAAAATGTATTTATTAGTTGTTAATTTTCTCGAAATCTAAAGGCACAACCTAGATTCGAGCCAATGTCTTAAGTAGATTAACATGTTATTACTCCAACCTCGTGAAAGTGACAAACTGAAACTTTTACATTTCTGTCAAAAACATATTTACATCGAATAGTGCCTTTGATATGACTGCCTGCACATGCGCAGTTCGGCGCGAGGCGACCATTAGACCCAATGACGTGTCTCTACGCATGAGCTTTGCTAGCCAACTTCGTCATGACGTCGCCTACAAACGTGATCGGGGATTTAAATTGGAGAAGCAGTTTTAGCCTATCTTCATACTGTACTGTCTTTGATATGGCCATTCAACAAATTGATCTAGATTATATTCATTTCCGGGTGCGCCTTATATCGCAATCCGGTTCCCTGCGGTTCGGAATAAGGGCCGGGGCGTTTCTAAAAGAAAGCCTCAAAACCCGACCTCCAACAGGCTTTTCAAGGGATTTTGAAGTGGTCTTCCCTCCGCTTTCATATGCTACACGCCCCGGCGAGGGTGCACTGCACCGGCGCTCAACGGTGGTGCAATTCTCTCTGCGTTAGCATACTAGCTAACAACATCGATTTCTACTCCACCCCCTCTCTAACCGCCTGTAGCTACTAGTCAATACCCCGTAGCTAGGGGTGAGCTGTAAAACCCAACTTTCCCATTCAATTCCTCCCCATCACCTCAAACCACACCGCTGGAAGATTGTTGACTTGGGAGGGCCATCGCAAGACTATTCTGGTAGGATCCCTGCTCCGGATTCGGGATTTAAGGCCCTCTAGGGGGGTGGGGGGTTTAACCCGCAATACTTTCATTCATAAACCCCCCAAAGCCTGGCATCTCGGTCAGTTTTAATACAATGATTAACCTTTTATTTTACGTAAATAGTATCAGTTCGTGAATTTACGTTTCTACCTCAACACTTCATTTTAATTGTCATCTCAGCCGTTTTAGCGTTCACTGGCTATATCTGACGGCCCCTCTCCTCCCCTTATCCATCATCAACCTTGGAGCCCCATTCGTTTTAGCTGCTTCTGACAATCAGCGGTAACTGTTCGCAGCACACCGTGGTCATCTTTCGTGGGGAAGATATCAGATAATAGGAACCCCCGCCCCCTATTCGGACAGCGCGAGACCCCGGCTCCGACACGAAGACGGTGGTCTGTGTTGCCAGCAGAAGAGCTCTGTGGCAATCGAATCCTCCACACAGACTGTGCTCGCAATGCCCGGCCCGGCGGCCGGCAGTAAATCTCGGGTGTACGCCGATGTCAACACTTTGAAGAGCAGGGAATATTGGGACTATGAAGCCCACGTGCCTAGTTGGAGGTGAGATGTTTTAATATCTTGGTCTGGAATTTCTAAACATCATAATGCACTATTTAGTAGTTTATTGGCAAATGCTTTATCAACCGTATGATAAAACTGTTTATGTCAATAAATGTGTATTCTATTGATATATTAGATATCATCATAATAATAAAGGAGTATGAATAAGGCGTCTTTTGAAAACTATTTCAATCTTTATTTGGAGAATATTATGTATTTTGGAGACCTAAAGTTTTGTCGGGAACGTGCATGGTTATGTGAGTCTGCGCGTAGCATGTTCAGATTGTCCTGCACTCTTGATTGGGATGGGAAAATCATCAATCTGCAAGATCGAGCAGCCCTAGCTGGCAGTTGACGCTGACAGGGCAGCACCGAATGACGCTTGTGAATTTTACTACTGTAGCATACTTCCTATTTATTTTCTACTTTCCTATATTTTCCTTTTCGATATTTCCACATAAGCACCAACATGTGAAGTTCATAGGAGCATATCAAATTGGTTGTCAAATGAAAGCTAAGTCTATATTTTGGGGAAATGAAGGCATAGATACATTTTTCAATCTTAAAAATTAGGCATAAGTAAAGGCTTTGATTTCTGGATAAACAGATGGAAAAGGGGTCTTAGAAAACATCTACTAGAAAAAGTCTTAAAAGGTATCAGAAATGCATCAAAACACAATGTTGACATAAAGACCCCTGCCAACTAATATCAACACTTTGTTTTTAGAGAAATGTTTTACCTTCTGTATATTTAAGAAATATTGCCTTGTAATTCCGTTACCAAAAACTCATATCTTTTAAGATATTTTCTAATTTCTCTCCCTCATAAGGAGGGAGGATAATGAAAGTTCAAGTAAAATAAAATTGTATTTGTCACATGCGCCGAATACAACAGTTGTAGACCTTACTGTGAAATGCTTACTTACAAGCCCTTAACCAACAATGTAGTTTTAAGAAAATACAGTTAAGAAAATATTTACTAAATAAACTCAAGTTTAAAAAAAGTTACGCAATAAAATAACAATAATGAGGCTATATACAGGGGGTACTGGTACCGAGTCAATGTGCAGGGCTACAGGTTAGTAGAGATAATTTCTACATGTAGGTAGGAGTAAAGTGACTATGCATAGATAATAAACAGCGAGTGACAGCAGTGTAAAAACAAAGGGGGGGGGGGGTTCAATGCAAATAGTCCGGGTGGCCATTAGATTAATTGTTCAGCAGTCTTATGACTTGGGGGTTGAAGCTGTTAAGGAAAATTTTGGACCTAGACTTGGCACTCTGGTACCGCTTGCCGTGCGGTAGCAGAGAGAACAGTCTATGACTTGGGTGACTGGAGTCTTTGACCATTTTTGTGGCCTTCCTCTGGCACCGCCTAGTATATAGCTCCTGGATGGCAGGAAGCTTGGCCCCAGTGATGTACTGGGCTGTACTCACTACCCTCTGTAGCGCCTTACGGTCGGATGCCGAGCAGTTGCCATACCAGGTGCTGACGCAACCGGTCAGGATCCTCTCGATGGTGCAGCTGTATAACCTTTTGAGGATCTGGGGCCCTCTTCACAACTTTCTTGGTGTGTTTGGACCATGATAGTTTGTTGGTGATTTGGACACCAAGGAACTTGAAACTCTCGACCCGCTCCATTACAGCCCGTCGATGTGAATTGGGGCGTGTTCGGTCCTCCTTTTCCTGTAGTCCACGATCATCTCCATTGTCTTGCTCACGTTGAGGGAGAGGTTGTTGTCCTGGCACCACACTGCCAGGTCTCTGACCTCCTCCCTATAGGCTGTCTCATCGTTGTCGGTGATCAGGCCAACCACCGTTGTGTCATCAGCAAACTTAATGATGGTGTTGGAGTCGTGCTTGGCCACACAGTCGTGGGTGAACAGGGAGTACAGGTGGGGACTAAGCACGCACCCCTGAGGGGCCCCCGTGTTGAGGATCAGCGTGGCAGATGTGTTGTTGCCTACCCTTACCACCTTGGGGCGGCCTGTCAGGAAGTCCAGGATCCAGTTGCAGGTGTTTAGTCCCAGGGTCCTTAGCTTATTGATGAGCTTTTGAGCACTATGGTGTTGAACGCTGAACTGTAGTCAATGAACAGCATTCTCACATAGGTGTTCCTTTTGTCCAGGTGGGAAAGGGCAGTGTGGAGTGCGATTGAGATTGTGTCGTCTGTGGATCTGTTGGGGCGGTATGTGAATTGGAGTGGGTCTAGGGTTTCCGGGATGATGGTGTTGATATGAGCCATGACCAGCCTTTCAAAGCACTTCATGGCTACCAACGTGAGTACTACGGGGCGGTAGTCATTTAGGCAGGTTACCTTCGTTTTCTTGGGCACTTGAAACATGTAGGTATTATAGACTCGGTCAGGGAGATTTTGAAAATGTCAGTGAAGACACTTGCCAGTTGGTCCGCGCATGCTTTGAGTACACGTCCTGGTAATCCGCCTTGTGAATGTTGACCTGTTTAAAGGTCTTGCTCACATCGGCTATGGAGAGCGTGATCACACAGTCATCCGGAACAGCTGGTGCTCTCATGCATGTTTCAGTGTTGCTTGCCTCGAAGCTAGCATAAAAGGTATTTAGCCCGTCTGGTAGGCTCACGTCACTGGGCAGCTCGCGGCTGGGTTTCCCTTTGTAGTCCATAATAGTTTGCAAGCCCTGCCACATCCGACGAGCATCAGAGATGGTGTAGTAGGATTCAATCTTAGTCCTGTATTGACGCTTTGCCTGTTTGATGATTCGTCTCAGGGCATAGCGGGATGTCTTATAAGCGTCCGGATTAGTGTCCCGCTCCTTGAAAGCGGCAGCTCTAGCCTTTAGCTCGGCGCGGATGTTGCCTGTAATTCATGGCTTCTGGTTGGGGTATGTACGTACGGTCACTGTGGGGACGACGTCATCGATGCACTTATTGATGAAGCCGGTGACTGAGGTGGTATACTCCTCAATGCCATTGGATGAATTCTGGAACATATTCCAGTCTGTGCTAGAAAAACAGTCCTGTTGCTTAGCATCCGCCTCATCTGACCACTTACTTATTGAGCGAGTCACTGGTGCTTCCTGCTTTAGTTTTAGCCTGTAGGAATCAGGAGGATAGAATTATGGTCAGATTTGCCAAATGAAGGGAGACCTTTTGTATGCATCTCTGTGTGTGGAGTTAAGGTGGTCTAGAGTTTTTTTCCCCTCTGGTTGCACATGTGACATGCTGGTAGAAAAGAGGTAAAACAGATTTAAGTTTGCCTGCATTAAAGTCCCGGCCACTATGAGCGCCGCTTCTGGATGAGCATTTTCTTGTTTGCTTATGGCCTTATACAGCTCGTTGAGTGTGGTCTTAGTGCCAGCGACAGTTTGTGGTGGTAAATAGACGGCTATGAAATATAGATGAAAACTCTCTTGGTAGATAGTGTGGTCTACAGCTTATCATGAGATACTCTACCTCAGGTGAGCAATACCTCGAGACTACCTTAATATTAGACATCGCGCACCATCTGTTATTGACGAATAGACACACACCCCCACCCCTAGTCTTACCAGACATAGGTGTTCTGTCCTGCCGATGCACGGAAAACCCAGCCAACTGTATATTATCTGTGTCGTCGTTCAGCCACGACTCTGTGAAACATAAGATATTACAGTTTTTAATGTCCCGTTGATAGGATAGTCTCGAATGGAGCTCATCCAGTTTATTCTTCAGTGATTGCACATTGGATAATAGAATGGATGGTAGAGGCGGGTTACCCACTCCCTGACAAATTCTCACACAGCACCCTGATCTCTGCCTCCTGTATTTCCTTATTTTCTTCATGAGAATGACAGGGATTTGGGCCTTGTCTGGGAGCGAAATTATATCCTTCACGTCCGACTCATAAAATAAAAAATCTTTGTCCAGTTCAAGGTGAGTAATCGCTGTTCTGATATCCAGAAGCTCTTTTCGGTCATAAGAGACGGTAGCATCAACATTATGTACAAAATAAGTTACAAACAATGCAAAAAAAACCACACAAAATAGCACAATTGGTTAGGAGCCTGTAAAATGGCAGCCATCCCCTCCGGCGCCATTCCGTAACAAGTAATAGTATACCTACCAATTAGTTATATTGAATTTACTGATATTCATTTTGTTTATGAATTATTAAGTGATTAAAACTCGTAATTCCGTTACCAAATTGGTAACAGAATTACTGCAACTGAATTGGCTACAATGGGAAATCATAATAGTCACAAACCACCGTTTGGTCACCTGCTACTGGCCTCCCTTCCACTGGCATATTGTTATGTTCAGCTCATAACAGTTTTCTTTGTCTTTCTGTCTGGTGGTCAAACCAAGAGTGTTAAAACAGTCTGGACAACCTCTCCCTCTGCCTCTCTCTCTCTCTCTCTCTTTCTAACTCTCCAGTTAATGTTACTTCTCCCAGCTCTTACTGACACCTACCCATGAGTAGGGCTGTTGCAGTGATCGTATTACCGCCACACTGGCGGTCACGAGTCATGAAGGCAGTCAAATTCCACGTGACCGTTTAATCACGGTAATTAGGCTTCTCCAAGCTCTGATGCTACTGATGGTCATTCGTAGCCTACCAAACTTGCTAACAGCCTGGTACTCGGCACTCTATTGTCCCTCTAATCACTCTGACATCAATGCAAATGTTTCGAAAATCGAATCAAACACTTCATGAGAGCCCATGAGCTCATGTTGCGCAACATTTCAATTGGCTATGCAATTGCGTGAGAAAACAGAGTGATGGCCTCTACTACAAAGAGGAGGATCAGCTTTCTATAGGCTAGGCCTACTATATTTATTTCTCAACTTTCCTAATATTAAGCACTTTACTTATATTTACAACAGGAGTATAGCCTACCTGGCCGGCATGAAAATATACCATGGGGAAAAGCGTCCTCCATTCGCTATTTAAATGCATAGATTACATGTATTTTTCCCGCTGGCCCTGTTTCGATACAGGTGCATGATAATGGCCCATTCTAAATCAAAACAAATTTCACATATATTATTTAGTATATGTAAAGACAACATTAAATTAAGAATAGTCTGATGGGTGACAATATTAGCCTATCACTTGTGAATGATATATTATCACTTGTGAATGATGCCCAGCATAAGAAACAAAGCCTTTTTTTTGCGACTTTTTCGAATCATAGTCGCACACCTCATGTAGCCTAGCCCATCGGCCTGTATGTTTTAATAAGGTTTGTATCACAACTAAAGTGGCCAAATAACTTCTTAAAATTAAGCACATTGATCTGCTTTACAAGGGGTGTAGAGCCTAACTGGCATACATAAGCAGCGCGCGAGTTTCAAGTTTGGGGAAGATCATTTTCACCATAGAAATGCACCTTTATAATAAAAGCATTACATGCATAATTGCATTTGCGGTCACTTTTGATAATGGTGTTTTCCCGTTAATGGAACATTTGCGTTTAAAGCCTACTACCATGTGCGCGTTGCTGCGTTTATAATGTGAAGAAATAGCTGAATAGTTTATCAACATTTTAAGCTAAACATTCTGATCTGTTGCATCAGCCACATTGTGTAAAAACGTTTTTTTTGATGCTAGCGGTTGTATTAATTTGGGATCTATCGCATCCCACAACTTTCCCAGACTATGTTTGGAATATTTATTTCTCGCACAGAATAGAATAGGTCGACCTTTGTACTATGGGGGATAGTAGATTTTCATAGGCTAGTGCTTTTGCTGTTCATTAGGCCTACTTATCTTGTTGGCTGACAAAAAGTATATGTGGATAGTTCTTCCAATATCTTCAACATGCACCTCGGAATTGGATAAGGACACGCGCAGTTGCATCCCCGATGTCTGTCTTCACTTGTAGCCTGTGAGAAAGACCCGATCACGTGATGGAGCGCGCAGCACTCTGGGAGAAGGGCACAACGGCATGTTTTTTTTTAGGGTGCGTTACGGCCACACAAAGGGGATGCCGCCGGGAAATTCTAGGCATTATCAAGTGCTTGTCAAATTGTGAATGAGTGACTGATGTAGTGTGTACAGCCTGCACAAAAAACAAAGCAGAGCTCATGCCTTTCAAGCGACTATTTTCAAATCATCATTAGAGTTGCATCATGCAGCCTTACAATGTATTAAATATCAAAACAGATAGGCCAGCGTTTGTAGAACAACTAAAGTTACATTAATAACTCTAAATTAAGCATATAGGAATACTTATTTATTTGTTAACCACTCAACACAGAATTGCCGCATGTGCGCACTCCCTCAAATCGTTTAGAGAAAATGTCCTTTATTTTATTCAGCTTATTCAATTGTATTCTTCATACTATAAAATAATGCCACGGAATTCTAAGCAAATCTTGTCTGCTAAATGAACTAGTGTAGGCCACAGCCATTTGGCATAGCCAGATCAGGACCTAACATAAGGACAACTCAGAGTATGCTATTCTGTTCGTCTGAAATAGACTACAGTTTCTTCATATTATGCTTCTTTAGACCTGTCTAACTCAGTCCGGCGTTCAACTTACTCTTGAAAGTTGTAATTGTAGAATGCTCATGGTGCAAGTTCGAAATTGGGTAGTGCATCATCAGTTTTCCTCTTGTCATGTCAGTCATTTCATACCTTGGAGAGCTATTTATAACTTGTCAGAAATGTCCAGATCAACTAGCCCATGTCAGCTAACGTTTTTAGCTAGGTTTTTTTGCCCATAGATTTTGTTGGGCTTTAAAACTGCAACATTTTCTCTGCACCACATGACAAAATGTGTAGAATTGCAGAAAATAAGCTTGAAACCTGCAACAACAAGAGGGTTGTGAACAGTGCTTGTGCCCATAGAAATAGACGTGGTGTGCGTGCAGGGGGGGGAGGGGCGCGGGATGTTCCCCAATGCTGGAAGGAGGGCCTGAGTGAGTAGAGCACAGTACAGTGAGTAGAGCACAGTAGATTACAGTCCAATACAGGACAGTGGTACAGTACAATACAGTGAAACATGAGGAGAATGACATTCATATAAATAATGATGCATTTCCGTGTAGTACAGATCATGGACCCATGATGTAATTCCGTTCTAGTTCAATAACCAAAATGGCTGACATCCCATTATTTCTGCAGACATCTTTGAGTTAGGGCTGGGCGATATATCAAATTAATTCAAATGCCTGTATCGCAAGAATCAACGTTATTATTTTTAGTCATTTTTTTTTTTATGACCGTTTATGCCGTTTGTCCTCATGTTGTCTTTTTGGCTGTGCTGTGTGCAATGACTTTGGGCCAGGGATCATCAACTAGATTCAGCCGCGGGACCATTTTCTTTCTTGAGCGGATGGTCAGGGGGCCAAAACATGATTACAAATCATTTGTAGACTGCAAATTGACCGCAAGAAGCCCAAACATATATAATATTTGACTAAAGCATAATACTTTCAAACCTTGCTTAAATTTGTATACAATAACATACATCTCTTTATTATGCGTGGGAATTCTATGGAACAGATTTCCAAATTGAAAATCACGTAGAGCTAATTTGCTGGTGTTTTTACAGTCTTTTATGTCTAACAATAAAAAGTCCAAACAGAAATAATATTTGACTAAAACCTAATTTCTAACCTTGCTTGCATTTGTGTACGATCACATACACTGAGTGTACAAAACATTAGGAAAGCCTTCCTAATGTTGAGTTGCAACCCCCCCTTTTGCCTTAACTCGTTGCGCATGGACCCTACAAGGTGTCGAAAGCATTCCACTGGCCCATGTTGACTCCAATGCTTCCCACGGCTGTGTCAAGTTGGCTGGATTTCCTTTGGGTGGTGGACCATTCCTGATACACACAGGAAACGTTTGAACGTGAAAAACCTAGCAGTGTTGCAGTTCTTGACACAAACTCTCTAGACCTGTCTAATACCGTGAGAATACTTTGGAACAGATTTCCAAAATTAAAATAACTTGCAGCTGATTTACAATAAAAACAAATATATATTTTTGAATGACTACCCCATCTCTGTACTGCACACATACAGTGAGGGGGAAAAAAATATTTGATCCCCTGCTGATTTTGTACATTTGCCCACTGACAAAGAAATGATCAGTCTATAATTTTAATGGTAGGTTTATTTGAACAGTGAGAGACATAAATAACAACAAAATCCAGAAAAAGCACATGTCAAAAATGTTATAAATTGATTTGCATTTTAATGAGGGAGATAAGTATTTGACCCCTCTCAATCAGAAGGATTTCTGGCTCTTTTATACAGGTAGCGAGCTGAGATTAGGAGCACACTCTTAAAGGGAGTGCTCCTAATCTCAGTTTGTTACCTGTATAAAACACACATGTCCACAGAAGCAATCAATCAATCAGATTCCAAACTCTCCACCATGGCCAAGACCAAAGTGCTCTCCAAGGATATCAGGGACAAGATTGTAGACCTACACAAGGCTGGAATGGGCTACAAGACCATCGCCAAGCAGCTTGGTGAGAAGGTGACAACAGTTGGTGCGATAATTCACAAATGGAAGAAACACAAAATAACTGTCAATCTCCCTCGGCCTGGGGCTCCATGCAAGATCTCACCTCGTGGAGTTGCAATGATCATGAGAACAGTGAGGAATCAGCCCAGACCTACACGGGAGGATCTTGTCAATGATCTCAAGGCAGCTGGGACCATAGTCACCAAGAAAACAATTGGTAACACACTACGCCGTGAAGGACTGAAATCCTGCAGCGCCCGCAAGGTCCCCCTGCTCAAGAAAGCACATATACAGGGCCGTCTGAAGTTTGCCAATGAACATCTGAATGATTCAGAGGAGAACTGGGTGAAAGTGTTGTGGTCAGATGAGACCAAAATCGAGCTCTTTGGCATCAACCCAACTTGCCGTGTTTGGAGGAGGAAGAATGCTGCCTATGACCCCAAGAACACCATCCCCACCGTCAAACATGGAGGTGGAAACATTATGCTTTGGGGGTGTTTTTCTGCTAAGGGGACAGGACAACTTCACCGCATCAAAGGGACGATGGACGGGGCCATGTACCGTCAAATCTTGGGTGAGAACCTCCTTCCCTCAGCCAGGGCATTGAAAATGGGTTGTGGATGGGTATTCCAGCATAACAATGACCCAAAACACACAGACAAGGCAACAAAGGAGTGGCTCGAGAAGAAGCACATTAAGGTCCTGGAGTGGCCTAGCCAGTCTCCAGACCTTAATCCCATAGACAATCTGTGGAGGGAGCTGAAGGTTTGAGGTGCCAAACGTCAGCCTCGAAACCTTAATGACTTGGAGAAGATCTGCAAAGAGGAGTGGAACAAAATCCCTCCTGAGATGTGTGCAAACCTGGTGGCCAACTACAAGAAAACGTCTGACCTCTGTGATTGCCAACAAGGGTTTTGCCACCAAGTACTAAATCATGTTTTGCAGAGGGGTCAAATACTTATTTCCCTCATTAAAATGCAAATCAATTTATAACATTTTTGACATGAGTTTTTCTGGATTTTTTTGTTATTCTGTCTCTCACTGTTCAAATAAACCTACCATTAAAATTATAGACTGATAATTTCTTTGTCAGTGGGCAAACTTACAAAATCAGCAGGGGATCAAATACTTTTTTCCCCTCACTGTACATACAATTATTGATTACACCTTGGGTAGTGTATCAATACGCCCAGTCACTACAATGATACAGGTGTCCTTCCTAACTCGGTTGCCGGAGAGGAAGGAAACCGCAGTAATACTGCAAAAAATGTGGCAAAAAATTCAACTTTTTGTCCTGAATACAAAGTGTTATGTTTGGGGAAAATCCAATACAACACATTACTGAGTACCACTCTCCATATTTTCAAGTATAGTGGTGGCTGCATCATGTTATGGGTATGCTAGTAATCGTTAAAGACGGGAGATTTTCAGGATAAAAAGGAAATGGAATGGAGCTAAGCACAGGCAAAATCCTAGAGGAAAACCTGGTTTAGTCTGCTTTCCACCAGACACTGGGAGATCTGCTAAATGACTAAAATGTAATTGTAAATGTAGATCAATTCACCTTTTAGCAGGACAATAACCTAAAATACAAGGCCAAATCTACACTGGATTTGCTTACCAAGAATACCGTGACTGTTCCTGAGTGGCCGAGTTACAGTTTTGACTTAAATCTACTTGAAAATCTATGGCAAGACCTGAAAATGGTTGTCTAGCAATGATCAACAACCAATTTGATAGAGCTTGAATAATTGTTTAAAAGAATAATGGACAAATGTTGCACAATCCAGGTGTGGAAAGGTCTTAGAGACTTACCCAAAAAGACGCAGAGCTGTAATCGCTTCTGTAAAGTATTCACTCAGGGGTGTGAATACTTATGTAAATGTTATGTACAGTGCATTCGGAAAGTATTCAGACTCCTGGACTTTTTCTACATTTTGTTACGTTACAGCCTTATTCTAAAATTGATTAAATCTTTTTTTCTTCTCATCAATCTATACACAATACCCCATAATGACAAAGTGAAAACAGGTTTTTTGAAATGTTTGCAAATGTATAAAAAAAATAAAAATAGAAATACCTTATTTACATAAGTATTCAGACCCTTTGCTATGAAACTCGAAATTGAGCTCAGGTGCATCCTGTTTCCATTGATCATCCTTGAGATGTTTCTATAACTTGATTGGAGTCCACCTTTGGTAAATTCAATTGATTGGACATGATTTGGAAAGGCACACACCTGTCTATATAACGTCACAGTTGACAGTGCATGTCAGAGCAAAAACCAAGCCATGAGATCGTAGTAATTGTCCGTAGAGCTCTGAGACAGGATTGTGTCGAGGCACAGATCTGGGGAAGGGTACCAAAAAAATTAGGCAGCATTGAAGGTCCCCAAGAACAGTGGCCTCCATCATTCTTAAATTAAAGACGTTTGGAACCACCAAGACTCTTCCTAGAGCTGGCCACCCGGCCAAACTGAGCAATCGGGGGAGAAGGGCCTTGGTTACGGAAATGACCAAGAACCCGATGGTCACTCTGACAGAGCTCTAGAGCTATATTAGTTTTGTATTTTTAATAAATTAGCAAACATTTCTAAGAACCTGTTTTTTCTTTGTCGTTATGGGATATTGTGTGTAGATTGATGAAGGGGAAAAAAACGATTTAATCAATAATAAGGCTGTAACATAACAAAATGTGGAAAAAGTCAAGGGGTCTGAATACTTTCCGAATGCACTGTACCTGTATTTCATTTTCAATCATTTTGCAAAAAAATATTTTAACATGTTTTCACTTTGACATTATGGGGTGTTGTGTACATGGGTGAGGGGAAAACATCGATTTAATCCATTTTGATTTCAGGCTGTAACACAACAAAATGTGGAATAAGTCAAGGAGTATGAATACTTTCTGAAGGCACTGTATCTGTTCCCCTATGCTCCATTTCTCCTCTAGTAACCAGGAAGACTACCAGTTGGTGCGGAAGCTCGGCAGGGGGAAGTACAGTGAGGTCTTTGAGGCCATCAACATCAACAACAATGAGAAGGTGGTGGTCAAGATCCTCAAGGTAAGTTGTTCAAGGGCTGCTTTGTTTGTCTGTATGGCCCAGTAGAGGTGGATTTGTGGTCTGTTTTCTATAAACACATAGTCTAAGTAAGAATCAACCAGGAAAACCTATAAGTAGAAGTATCTAGGTAAGGTGGACACCTGGATGATGCTGTCACCATTACAGTTAGGCTATACGTTGTTATAAATGAAGTCACATCCTGAATGGTCAAACGTTTAGGCTACATCCTGGTCTGATTGGGTGTCTCTGTTGTTATGACCCTGATTAGCCTGTCAAGAAAAAGAAAATCAAGCGCGAAATCAAGATTCTGGAGAATCTGCGAGGGGGAACCAACATCATCCGATTGGTGGACACAGTGAAAGACCCTGTGGTATGTCTTACAGCTCTGCTTTCTTCTAGCCATGGGCTAGTTCTTAGTCACCTGAGTACCTGGCCACTTCCTTACCCCTTCAAAGATCAGATTTGTTTACATTGTGAATCCATTTCTTGAATGTTCCTATACATGTAATGGCTGTTGATATAATGGCTGTTGAATTAACATTCTTACACTTTATAATATCAGCACAATTTCCTTTACAGATTGTGAACGTGTTTGATATTATTTTAGTGAGGTTCACTAGACTGTTTGAAAGTTCTGCAAAATAGTCGTCTTACTCACAGATTAAGTGGTAGACTAACTAAATTAACTGACTAATGATCTAAAAGCAGGTGAAACAGGACTGTCTTTCTTACATTTTGGCAGGGTTATTTTGAGAATATTGTTTTATGAATGCAAGGGAGATGGATACCCAACATATACAATTACCTGATCAAATTATCAAATGTATGCTGCTGCCTACAATCAAATAAATGGGAATTATGATCATGGGAATTAATGAGGCTAATATTAACATGGCTTTATCTTTAATTACAAAACACATGATTGCAATAGCAGCCGGGAACAAAATTGAGATGTGATTCTTTCATGTTGATGTGCTTCTGCTGTGTGTGTGATGGGTGTTAAGCCACTGCACAATGATGTGTGCTCTACCTTTTCCTCCCAGTAAATATGGCTCATTGACTGATGTCATTTTTAATGTTTGATTTATCAATGAGATTGGAATATTTCCAAGTTTTTCTGATTTTTCCCCCCCCCTCTATTTGTTCTCTCTCTCTCTCTCTCTCTCTCTCTCTTTCTCATATCTCTCTCTCTCTCTCTCTCTCTCTCTCTCTCATATCTCTCTGCAGTCCCGAACGCCTGCTCTTGTCTTTGAATGCATCAATAACACAGATTTTAAGGTAGATTAATTTCCCTCTAGGCATGGGGTTTTACTGGTTTGGGATGGTGTAATGACTGGGAAACTTGGTCATGTTACCCAATAAGGCTTATATAGCTTATTAGTTTCAAATACCATGTTGGTAGCCATGACTTAGCATAGCATTGTGTTTCTGTATGTTACTGTCTGTTTGGTTGGTTGGTTGAAAGTGTTTTGTTAAACAGTGTTTCATCATGGATGCATGCATCACATACTTGCTTTCTGAAAATTAAATCTAAAACTTTTCTTCTCTCCCCAGGAGCTCTACCAGAAGTTAACAGATTTTGATATACGTTTTTACATGTATGAACTACTAAAGGTGAGCCTTGCAGTTTTACCCCCTGTGTGTTTTCACATGTACTCCCAGTCCTACATTTCTACCTTCCTAACTGTGGGATTAGTTTGTGGTGTCTAGTCATTATTTCGCTGTCTCTGACATGATTTGGGTCTTTGTGCTTTCAGGCTCTGGACTACTGCCACAGTATGGGTATTATGCACCGTGACGTCAAGCCCCACAATGTGATGATTGACCACCAGATGAGGAAGGTAGGGGGAGCTCTTAACCTTTTTCAACCTTAATTGTGTAGAAACTTGGTAAGATCTAGGAGTCCAAATGTATTGGTCACATACACGTGGTTAGCAGATGTTGTTATGTGTCTGGTACAAAAGTTATTCGGCTCTGCTCAAGCTGTTTGAAAAGTCTACAAAGCTTACATAAATTTGTCCGATTTGTCTGAAGTGACTTCAATTATTTCTTCACCAATATTGAATGGAAGTTGAACTCTTTTAGTCTTTGTCAAATACAAGTTTCTCATTGCCACCAGATGGCATCAGGACACATACAGGATTGCAATACTGATGTATTTTTTAGTAGCAGCAGCAATTTCCCTTGTGTGCCACATTTTCTATGTGGTTTCTATTCTAACACTATGTGGTTTGTGTTTTTGTGTTGCAGCTACGCCTGATAGACTGGGGCCTTGCAGAATTCTACCATCCTGCACAGGAATACAATGTCAGAGTAGCATCTCGCTACTTTAAGGGACCTGAGTTACTGGTGGATTACCAGGTAAATCCCCAGCACATGCAAGCAAAAACACACACACCGACACACGGTCATCCTGTAAATTAAAAGTGCTCCAGTGATGTTATTGTGTTCCAATTTAATTGTAATTGGTAGCTGTTTGTATATGGATGTATAACCGTAACTGAAGCGTTCTGTGGTTTCCTGTCAGATGTATGACTATAGTTTGGACATGTGGAGTCTGGGCTGCATGCTGGCCAGTATGATCTTCCAGAAAGAGCCCTTCTTCCATGGCCAGGATAATTATGATCAGGTATCCAATTAATTTACCACTGAACTGACATTCCCTTTCTATTGTCACTACCAAACATCCTTTAGTCTCACTACAACCCATCTTATTCCACCCAATATAACTCCTAACTTGTCTAATCTAGACCTGTCTCATAGTATGATAACACTGACTGCTACAATCTATTAGAGCAGATAACACATTCACTACCTGATGATAACACGTACTTACCAAATTAGCTTGTATATGAACAAATACTCCCTAAGACAAACAGAGACACTTATGTGAAATTGTCACTGTTCTGATTTCAGCTGGTCCGAATTGCCAAAGTCCTGGGGACAGATGAGCTTTTTGGTTACCTGCGCAAATACCACATTGAACTGGACCCACGCTTCAAGGACCTTCTTGGCCAGTGAGTACCAACAGGGAGTGTCATTGAGACATGTACAGTGCTTTCAGAAAGTATTCATACCCCTTGACATATTCCACATTTTGTTGTATTACAGCCTGAATTCAAAATGGACTAAATATTATTTTTTTCTCACCCATCTACACACAATACCCCATAATGACAAAGTGAAAACATGTTTTTAGAAATGTTAGGAAATGTATATGTAAATACATAAATATTTAATTTACATAAGTGTTCCCACCTTTGACTCCATTCATGTTACGATTACAGCTGTGAGTCTTTCTGGGGAAGCCTCTAAGCTTTGCACACCTATTGTACAATATTTGCACTTTAAAAAATATATATATATTCTTCAAGATCTGTGAAGTTGGTTGTTGATAATTTTCAAGTCTTGCATAGATTTTCAAGCCAATTTTTTTGATCAGAACTGTAACTAGGCCACTCAGGAACATTCAATGTCGTCTTGGTAAGCAACTCCAGTGTATATTTGGCCTTGTGTTTTAGGTTATTGTCCTGTTGAAAGGTTAATTTGTCTCCCAGGAAAGCAGACGGAACCAGATTTTCCTCTAGGACTTTGCCTGTGCTTAGCTATATTCCATTTGTTTTATTTTTTATTTTTTACTGCCTAGTCCTTGCCGATGACAAGCATACCCATAACATGATGCAGCCACCACCATGCTTGAAAATATGAAGAGTGGTACCCAGTGATGTGTTGTGTTGGATTTGCCCCAAACATAATGTTTAATATTCAGAACATAAAGTTCATTTCTTTGCCACATTTTTTGCAGGTTTACTTTAGTGCCTTATTGCAAACAGGATGCATGTTTTGGAATATTTGTATTATGTACAGGTTTCCTTTTCACTCTGTCATTTAGGTTAGTATTGTGGAGGAACTACAATGTTGTTGATCCATCCTCAGTTTTCTCCTATCACAGCCATTAAACTCTGTAACTGTTTTAAAGTCACCATTGGCCTCATGGTGAAATCCCTGAGCGGTTTCCTTCCTCTCTGGCAACTGAGTTAGGAAGGACGCCTGTATCTTTGTAGTGACTGGGTGTATTGATACACCATCCAAAGTGTAATGAATAACTTCACCATGCTCAAAGGGATATTCAATGTGTACTTATTTTTTTTACCCATCTACCAATAGATGCCCTTCTTTGCGAGGCATTGGAAAACCTACATGGTCTTTGGGGTTGAATCTGTGTTTGAAATTCACTGCTTGACTGAGGGACCTTACAGATAATTGTATGTGTGGGGTACAGAGATGAGGTAGTCATTCAAAAATCATGTTTAACACTATTATTGCACACAGTGAGTCCATGCAACTTTTTATGTGACTTGTTAAGCTCATTTTTACTCCTGAACTTATTTAGGCTTGCCATAACAAAGGGGTTGAATACTTATTCAATCAAGACATTTCAGCTTTTCATTTTTAATTAATTTGTAAAAATGTCTTAACATTAATTTAACAACAAAATGTAGAAAAAGTCAAGTTGTGTGAATAATTTCTGAAGGCACTGTATTTACCTTAACTGAGTGTAGACTATAGAGGTTAGAGATGGGTCAGTTCCACACAAGTACCAATACTACCCTAGATGAATCACTATAGATTTAGACCATCTTTATTTAAAACCTGTCAGACAGTGGCCCTCTGGATCCAGAAAAGGAAACATTCTTTCCCAGGTGATAATACTGTTGTATTGAAGTGACAGCCTGGGGTAAGTTAGCTCTCTGTCTCCCCCCTCAGGCAGACACGGAAACGCTGGGAGCAGTTTGTCCAGACAGAGAACCAGCACCTGGTGAGCCCTGAGGCTCTGGACCTGCTGGATAAGCTGCTGCGCTACGACCACCAGCAGAGACTGACGGCCACAGAGGCCATGGAGCACCCCTACTTCTGTGAGTAGCTCAAAATGAACACTCCTGCTGACTACCTCTGTTGTGGAGTGCCAGTTATTATGGCATTGAGGAAAGGGGATATGATCTTTAACATGATGACTCTTCTACACAGATCCTGTGCTGAAGGAACAGTCTCTCTCAAATGCGGATGGCAATATGGTGTCCAGTGGATCCACTACAGCTCGATGAAAGCAGGTGAGTGAGAGAAACACAAACACTGGTCTATTGTAAATATTGACATTCTTTTGGTCTGAGCAAAATTTAGCTCAGTGTCAGGTGTTCAAGCAGGTTCAGTGAAGTTGTTCCATTGTTCTAAATTGTTCCATTGTTCTCAATTATTCTATTGCTCTGGGTTAACGCTGCTATTTAAAAATTTTCAATAAAATCACTTTTATAATTCTTAAAATAAATAAGCATCAACAGTATCATTTCTGTTCCCTTTTTGTCTTTCAGAAGAACATTTGTTACCTCAACTTTTTACCCCTTTGTGGCAGAAACCTCTTCAAGTGTACAGTGACAATGGATCAAAGCACCGCCGACCAGTAACACACTCAAAGATGTTCATTCGGGCGCACACACATACATGAACACACACATACTCACACCCTCCTCTGTGTCAGTGTATGGTTGGCTTGCCCAGTGAAGCAGCCAGACCAATGAGCTTGATGCCTGATGTCTCACTGCTGCCCCTGCCCTCCCTTCCTCTTATCAATAGGTAAACAGAAAATTTTCAAAGACTAGAAAAAAAGGATCCTTTCCTGTCATTATCCCCCCCTTTGGCCCCCCTCCCTCGTTAAACTAAGCATGGAGAATGAAAAGGAGCGTGAGCCTGCCCCCTGCCCTCCCTCCCCCTCGGTCTGTCGGTCTGTCTGTCTGTCTGTCTGTCTGTCTGTGTTCAGTATTCAGCCCCTAGGCAGACCTGAGCTCAGCCTCCACACACTGTAGTACTGAAGTGGCATGGTGGACCTTTTCTCTGCTCTAGGTAGAATGATGATAATAATATTAATGAAAATAAATGATTTTTATTTAGATTGATGTGTTTGTGTGATCATTTTTCAAATGTATTTGCCATGAGCAGTAGATCACCTGCTGGGTGTTTGTTATGGTGTCTTACATTTCTTATCTTACTTGTTGTTCAGACAGTCTTACAGTAATTAATCAGAGAGACAACCACAAACAACACCAGTATCTGGTGGTCAATGAACAGTGGGTCATCAATGCCATTAATCGCTGAGGAAGGTGACAAAGTCTTGTCTTGACACCATGTTGCCAGCACAACCCTTAATGGGCTTGGCTCCAAAACACACTCACCATAGATCCAGAGATAATGTTTTGACAGACCATCCACTGTGAACCATCATTGCTCATTCATTGAGTGAGAAATCTGTTCAGCTTTCTGCAATTATCTGTTGAATGATTGCCCTCATGAAACCAGATCAGATGATACCCGGCGATGTTGTGCAGCATTTATGCAACGTGATACCTGAAGACTTCTCAGCCAAATGAGTGGCTGGTTCTCACCTTGCCATCTCTCTCACAACAGTACTGTGATAGTACTAGTACGAGCACTCTGAGGGTGTCACGTCAGCTTGAAGACAATATTTTTTAGGACACTAATTATTTTGTTGACCCTATTCTCTTGGTTACATTAGTATAAATACCTTAATGCATACTTTTAAATTATATTATGTGAGCTAAACATAAAAATACAAACTGAAAAAAATATTAAAACATTGTCCTTAAAGTATAATTTTTTGAGATTACTAATGTTACTGTCCCCACTAAAACAACAAAATACTTAAATCCTTAACATTTAAAGAGTAACTTCCATCAAATTAAATAAAGTTTTAGGCTTCGTTATAGTGAACCAAGTCAATGCTAGTAGTCATTTTGACAGTTCGTTGCGAAAGTGATATATTTTGGCCTTTTAGTAGTAAATCTGGTTATTTTTGCCCCTAGTGGTTCAACTCCACCATTGAAAGTATTTTATTTTTCTTGTTTAGAAGGTGCCTCTACATCTCAAGGGAGGGGTTTGGTATGAAATACACTTCCTTCTAGATGTGCTACGTTGTGCTACGTTCTACCACCTCAAGGCTTATAAAATCAGCGTGCCTTATTTGGCAATGGTCTTGGTAAGTGGTGTGCCAATATATTTTGACGTTACACAAAATTCAAAAGGCAGGAACACACATTAACGCATATGACCAAAACCAACATTTTTGCTTACCGTTTTAGATGCATCTACAGTTGAAGTCGGACGTTTACATACACCTTAGCCAAATACATTTAAACTCAGTTTTTCACAATTCCTGACATTTAATCCAAGTAAAAATTCCCTGTTTTAGGTCAGTTAGGATCACCACTTTATTTTAAGAATGTGAAATGTCTGAATAATAGTAGAGAGAATGATCAGCTTTTATTTATTTCATCACATTCCCAGTGGGTCAGAAGTTTACATACACTCAATTAGTATTTGGTAGCATTGCCTTTAAATTGTTTAACTTGGGTCAAACGTTTCGGGTAGCCTTCCACAAGCTTCCCACAATAAGTTGGGTGAACTTTGGCCCATTTCTCCTGACAGAGCTGGTGTAACTGAGTCAGGTTTGTAGGCCTCCTTGTTCGCACACACTTTTTCAGTTCTGCCCACAAATGTTCTATAGGAATGAGGTCAGGGCTTTGTAATGGCCACTCCAATATCTTGACTTTGTTGTCCTTAAGCCATTTTGCCACAACTTTGGAAGTATGCTTGGGGTCATTGTCCATTTGGAAGACCCATTTGCAACCAAGCTTTAATTTCCTGACTGATGTTGCTTCAATATAGAGATGTTGCTTCAATATATCCACATAATTTTCCTTTCTCATGATGCCATCTATTTTGTGAAGTGCACCAGTCCCTCCTGCAGCAAAGCACCCCCACAGCATGATGCTGCCACCCCCGTGCTTCACGGTTGGGATTGTGTTCTTTGGCTTGCAAGCTGCCCCCCTTTTTCCTCCAAACATAAAGATGGTCATTATGGCCAAACAGTTATATTTTTGTTTCATCAGACCGGAGGACATTTCTCCAAAAAGTACGATCTTTGTCCCCATGTGCAGTTGCAAACAGTAGTCTGGCTTTTTTATGACCGTTTTGGAGCAGTGGCTTCTTCCTTGCTGAGCGGCCTTTCAGGTTATGTCAATATAGGACTCGTTTTACTGTGGATATAGACCTGTTTCCTCCAGCATCTTCACAAGGTCCTTTGCTGTTGTTCTGGGATTGATTTGCACTTTTCGCACCAAAGTATGTTCATCTCTAGGAGACAGAATGCATCTCCTTCCTGAGCGATATGACGGCTGCGTGGTCCCATGGTGTTTATACTTGCGTGCTATTGTTTGTACAGATGAACGTGGTACCTTCAGGCGTTTGGAAATTGCTCCCAAGGATGAACCAGACTTGTAGAGGTCTACACTTTTTTTCTGAGGTCTTGGCTGATTTCTTTTGATTTTCCCTTGATGTCAAGACAAGAGGCACTGAGTTTGAAGGTAGGCCTTGAAATACATCCACAGGTACACCTCCAATTAGCCTATCAGAAGCTTCTAAAGCCATGACATCATTTTTCTGGAATTTTCCAAGCTGTTTGAAGGCACAGTCAACTTAGTGTATGTAACTTCTGACCCACTGGAATTGTGATACAGTGAATTATAAGTGAAATAATATGTCTGTAAACAATTGTTGGAAAAATTACTTGTGTCATGCACAAAGTAGATGTCCTATCCGACTTGCCAAAACCATAGTTTGTTGACAAGAAATATGTGGAGTGGTTGAAAAACGAGCTTTAATAACTCCAACCTAAATGTATGTAAACTTCCGACTTCAGCTGTATGTGCTGAAACAAAACATGTAGGCTATGAGGATTATATGTTTATATTCGTAGCGAAGTCCATCGTAACAAGAAATAGATGACAATGGTGGTCATGTCAACTCGTGTTTCTACCAAACTGCTATGACTGATTGATGGCGCTAAAACAGTTGGCTCATAGTTCAATGGCTGTGAGTTCTAATCCCCCATGGGATTATTAGGCTTCTCCAAGTACTGATGCTGCTGATGGTCATTAGTAGCCTACCAAACTTGCAAACTGCCAGGTACTCAGCACTCTATTGTCCCTCTAATCACTCTAACATCAATGTAGATGTAATCTAAAATCTAATCAAACACTTCATGAGCTCATGTTGCGCAACATTTCTACAGGCTATGCAATTGCATGAGAAAACAGAGTTTTGATGGCCTCTATTAAAAAGAGGAGGATCCCATCAGCTTTCTATCGGCTAGGCCTACTATATTTATTTCTCAACTTTCCTAATATTAAGCACATTGCTTCGCTTTACAACAGGAGTATAGCCTACCTGGCTGACATGAAAATGAACCATGGGAAAAACGTCCTCCATTCGCTATTTAATTGCGGAGTCAGTCCTCCATTCGCTATTTAAGTGCATAGATGACATGTATTTTTTCCCCCTGCTCCTGTTCCGAGACAGGTGCATGATAATGGTCCATTCTAAATCGAAACTAATACCACACATATATTATTTAGTATATGTAAAGACAACATTAAATTAAGAATAGTCTGATGGGTGACAATATTAGCCTATCACTTGTGAATGATGTATTATCAATTGTGAATGATGCCCAGCTTGTGCATTAAGGCAAGAAACAGCACATACCTTTTTTTGCGAATTTTTCAAACCAGTCACACACCTCATGTATCCTATCCCATATGCCTATTTGTTTTGATTAGGTTTGTATCACAACTAAAGTGGCCAAATAACTTCTTAAAATTAAGCACATTAATCCGCTTTATAACCGGTGTAGAGCCTAACTAGCATTTATAGGCTGCGTGTGAATTTCAAGTTTGGGGAAGATAATTTTCACCATAGAAATGCACCTTTATAATTACATCCATAATCACATTTGCCGTCACTTTCTAGAAGTGTTTTCCCGCTAATTGATTGCATTTTGGAACATTCGCGCTTATAGCCTACTGCCGTGTGCTTATTGCGGCGCTTATAATGTGAAAAAAATAGCCTAGTAGTTTATCAATATTTAAGCTAAACGATCAGCTTCATTGCTTTTAAAAGGTTTTTTTGATGCGAGTGGTTGTATTAATTTGGGATCTATCGCGTCCCACAACTGTCCCAGAGTATGTTTGGAATATTTATTTCTTGCACAGAAGGACAAGTTGACCAATAGAATACTATGGGGGATAGTAGATTGACATTGGCTAGTGCTTTTGCTGTTCGTTAGGCCTACTCATCTTGTTGGCTGACGAAAAGTAGGCTAAATGTTGACAGTTCTCTGATGAAAAATAGGCAAAATGTGGACAGTTCTAACATTTTCATAGCCATATCAGGGCCTAACATAAGGACAACTCAGAGTATGCTATTCTGTTCTTCTGAAATAGACATATCATGTTTCTTTAGACCTGTCTAAAATAAATAATGGATTTATTGTGATGGTGAAGGCTATATTAAATATATTTTTTAGACTTTTTAAAATGTAGATGTTCCAAAAGGTCTGCATCAGTGGCTTGTAGGGTATGACACTACAAGCTTGGCACAACTGTATTTGGGGAGTTTCTCCCATTCTTCTCTGCAGATCCTCTCAAGCTCTGTCAGGTTGGAATGGGGAGCGTCACTGCACAGCTATTTTCAGGTCTCTCCAGAGATGTTCGAGCGGGTTCAAGTCCGGGCTCTGGCTGGGCCACTCAAGGACATTCAGAGACTTGTCCTGAAGTCACTCATGCGTTGTCTTGGCTGTGTGCTTAGGGTCGTTGTCCTGTTGGAAGGTGAACCTTCGCCCCAGTCTGAGGTCCTGAGCGCTCTGGAGCAGGTTTTTGTTAAGGATTTCTCTGTACTATGCTCCGTTCATCTTTCCCTTGATCCTGACTAGTCTCCCAGTCCCTGCTGCTGAAAAACATCCCCACAGCATGATGCTGCCACCACCATGTTTCACCGTAGGGATGGTGCCAGGTTTCCTCCAGACGTGACGCTTGGCATTCAGGCCAAAGAGTTCAATCTTGGTTTCATCAGACCAGAGAATCTTGTTTCTCATGGTCTGAGAGTCCTTTAGGTGCCTTTTGGCAAACTCATGTGCCTTTTACTGAGGAGTGGCTTCCGTCTGGCCACTCTACCATAAAGGCCTTATTGGTGGAGTACTTCTCCCATCTCCCCAGAGGAACTCTGGAGCTCTGTCAGAGTGACCATCGGGTTTTTGGTCACCTCCCTGACCAAGGCCCTTCTCCCCCGATTGCTCAGTTTGGCTGGGCAGCCAGCTCTAGGAAGAGTCTTGGTGATTCCAAACTTCTTCCATTTAAGAATGATGGAGGCCACTGTGTTCTTGGGTACCTTCAACGTACAGTACATAATTGTTTTTTACCCACATGCCTTCAGAAAAATTTCACACCCCTTAACTTTTTCAACATTTTGTTGTGTAACAGCCTGAATTTAAAATGGATTAAATTGAGATTTATTGTCACTGGCCTACACACAATACCCCATGATGTCAAAGTAGAATTATGTTTTTAGACATTTTTACAAATGAATAAAAAATGAAAAGCTGAAATGTCTTGAGTCAATAAGTATTCAACCTCTTTGTCATGGCAAGCCTAAATAAGTTCAGGAGTAGAAATTTGCTTAACAAGTCACATAATAAGTTGCATGGACTCACTCTGTGTGCAATAGTAGTGTTTAACATGATTTTTTGAATGACTACCTCATTCAAAAATCATTCGAGCAGTGAATTTCAAACACAGATTCAGCCACAAAGACCAGGGAGGTTTTCCAATGCCTCGGAAAGAAGGCCCTATGATTTCTTAATCCGGCCCTGGTGAACACTTATGTAAATTAGATATTTCTGTATTTAATTTTCAATACATTTGCAAACATTTCTAAAAACATGTTTTCACTTAGTCATTATGGGGGAATTGTGTGTAGAGGGGTGAAAATGTTTTATTTTTAAATCCATTTTGAATTCAGGCTGTAACACAACTAAATTTGGAATAAGTCAAGGGGTATGAATACTTTATGAAGGCACTGTTCATGCATTCATGCTGTGACCCTTACTGTAAGTAGGGCAGTGTTTGGAAAGCTTTGTCATCTGACACTTGCTGCGCCTGAGTGCATTAAGCGCAGCCCCACCCCTGTTCCACAGGAGGAGCTCTTGTGAATGGAATTACTGGGAGGGCAGGTGACCTAATACAGTGTCCTTCACTGTTGCTCACAAGTGTCCGTGATCAACTCAGGAACTGATGCAGTTTCTCCACAACACTAATCCTCTGCCAAAATGTCCACCTATCTGAATCAGAGCCCCTGATTCTTTGTACGTCTGTAATAACGAGGCAAGCTTAGCTGATACATGTAGGCTAATGGTATTCTTGTGTAATCTTGGTGTTTATAGACACCATGCAGTACACCTTGTGGTGAGACTACCAGGTCACACTAATTGGCTCCTTCATTTGTTTGACCTCGATGTCAGAATACAGGAGTAAGAAAATTTGGTGAGACGGAGAAGATGTGCGTGTATAGTACAGTACAGATCGTATATGTCCTGCTCAGACCACATAAATCAACTTGTTCCCACTGGGCATACACTGGCTGAATTAACGTTGTTTCCATGTAATTTCAATGAAATGACGTTGAACCAACGTGGAATAGACGTTGAATTGACGTCTGTGCCCAGTGGGTTTTCTCTCACACCCCACCTTGCATAGCAAGGCTTATGTGGCGGCAGGTAGCCTAGCGGTTAAGAGGTTGGGCCAGTAACCAAAAGGTTGCTGGTTCAAATCCCCGAGCTGTCTAGGTGATACATCTGTCGCTGTGCCCTTGAGCAAGGCACTTAACCCTAATTGCTCCTGTAAATTGCTCTGGATAAGAGCGTCTGCTAAATGACTAAAATGTAAATGTAACAAACTGCATTGACTTGTATAGGGGATCCATTGACCATTTAATTAGTATGTCTCCACCAAAGGAACCGGAGGCCAATTAACATGATGTAAATAAGTACTGTAACTGGTGCTGAAGCCAAACACCCACTTAGCTAAGTGCGTGTTTTTCTATCAGTAACAACATGGAGCCCTCCTGCGCAGACTAAGTTTAGAAGAACCTTTTGTTGAGAGGCATTGTTATTGATTGTGTATCCAGTGTCTTCACCATAGGGGTTTGCTTTTGACTCTACAGATGTAGGATCTTAATGTGATCACCCTGTTACAGGAGAACTTTCCTGTGATTCAGGAAATGTAAAACTTGTAGTGTATTTGAAATTTCAGACTTGGATTTTCCCTTACGAAATATGTATCAACCCCCAGAAAAATGTCCATTAATTATAATCCACATAATAATTCACATTTCCTGTTGCTGCATGATTATTTTCCTGCTGTAGCAAACTGGCTCAAATTAAGATCCTACATCTGTATGTTTAGCTATGCCATCGGGCCCTATTTTTGATTTTGCATGTGCAGCTGCATCACGTCTTGATTTTTGGTTGTGATTGTGTAGCCCAGCCTCAGAGCCCTGTTCACCATTCTGTGCAAGGCGGTGGTGGCTGGACTATGGAGTTGTGTTTTAGTGTAAAATCCTACTGTTCCATGATTCTGAATGAGTTAGCTATGATCACTATTTCTATGAGAATTTACCCTGAGTGAAGGACACGGTGTTTGCTCCATGCACCTGCACGCACAGTAGCAGCTTAAAGTAGATGTGCGTGCGTAATCCCAAGATAGCATGACTGAAATATCCACTTCCTCCTCAAGAGGAAACCTGAGAGCGAGTTTCCTGTCCTACAACCTGACTCCTCTGCTCCTCACGTTCAGACAACATCTCTACCCATCAAAGTTTCAGCAGCGGCCTTGTCAGATCCGCCGGGGCCCGGGTCTGGTCAGCTGTGGACCGGTCAGCATGGCTGTAGTCAAGCGAGAGAACAGGAGTCTGTGTTTACAGCAGGGGCTGTGAGCGGGATTTTCTATGTCATTTAACAACCATATAAATAATTTGGAATTGATAGGAGGGCTTATTTCAGGTGTCTAGTGCTGTTTTTATTTCAAAGTGTCCAGTGTATTCTATTATTTTAAGTGCCTAGAGTGTAGAGTTATAGCCTATTTTAAAGTGTCCAGTGTATTCTGTTATTTTAAGTGCCTACTGTCTGGTGTGTCTATCTGTTACCTACTCTTCTCCTTTCTTTGTGTCTGTCTGCCTCTGTGCGAAAGAGGATCATTCATATGAGTCTTCTGGATTCATTTTCTCAATTAAACCTCAACTGCATAACAATTCATCATGTTTTTCTCATGAATGTGTCTGAACTTCCCTCCAGCTCTATCCTGGAACCCACAAGGGAAACGAAAAACAGTGCACCCACAAAACACCTGGAGGCAGGAGCTAGAAGCAGATGCTAAAAGATCTGGCATGGGGTGGAACGAGATTGAGAAGAAGTAAGTCAGTAAAACCTCCCCCCAGCCAATAATGACTGTATTGTTTTAATTACTTACTTCCATTTGGAATGAATGGCAAATGCTTTAAATAATGTATGACACAAGCACACAGGTAATAGTACTATGTGTGTTCCTTTGTAAATACAGTGTCTGTCTATGTAACCCAGAGTATACACTTCAATGGACAGTAATCTATTTGATAAAATGTATGCAGAAAATACAAACCTGTAACATCACAACAGCAAAATACAACAGACGAGGTGTTAAGTTGATCTAAATAGTCAAAGCTTTATTAAATCTTCACAGTGCAAATGTAAGTCAATGACACCTTTCATTTAGAAATGTACACCCATTTTTCAACACACCTAAAAAAGACAACAACCCAACACCTAACCCCCCAAGCCCACACCAGAGGAATATGAAAAAGTTAGGACCCCTTTCCTGACCGCTGGTAACTTTCCACAGGTTTATTTACTGATGGACCTTTGCAGTGAGCAGAGTCTCACCTGCTGAAATTACATATAAGACAAAAAAATCACTGTGGTTGCCATAGAGAAAGGAACAAATATGTATCAACGGTTAATCATCACCCAGTGGGCTCTAACATGAAGCTAAGTCTATCAGTCACTGGTCCACTTCTGACCCCTCCAGATGGAGAAATACAGATGTGCTCTGTCTCAGGAGTGTCATCCCTTCCCTCAACAAAGGAAGCATGGGGGGGACATTGTGTCTGTGCTCCTCTGTACTGGTTTGTGTGGAGACGTAAAGGGGGATCATCCCCAAATTAATTGTAGCGCCCAACGGCTGGATAAAGGTTGTTGGGAGGGTCGGTGGGGGTTGGGGGTGGGGGGCTCTTTGGGGTCCATTATCATCCAAATCTTTTTATGTTAGGAGTAATACGTCTGCGGCGATAGCAGGAAGGCAGACATCTCCTGTCTGACTTGGCCGGAGAACCGGGTGTTGGAGGAGAAGATGCTTGCTTCCTGAAACACAAAGAGTTCGACCATGAGTCAGAGATCTATATATTGAGGTATTAATTTAACATCTACATCCTCTAAAATATTCAGAACGTGATTTATTTCATTCAATTGACATATCAATTTAAGACCCTACACTCTTAGAAAAAAGGATTCCAGAAGGGTTCTCCAGGTGTCCCCATAGTAGGACCTTTTTTTCCTGAATATAACAGATTTTGACAGTGCTAGATGACACAGTACATTCGGAAAGTATTCAGACCCTTTAACGTTTTCCACATTTTGTTGCATTATAGCCTTTATTCTAAAATGGATTAAATAAATATTTGTCCTCCTCAATCTACACACAATACCCCATAAAGACAAACCAAAAACAGGTTTTTATACATTTTTACAAATGTATAAAAAAATAAAATAAAATAAAAACGTATTTACATAAGTATTCAGACCCTTTGCAATGAGACTCGAAATTGAGCTCAGGTACATCCTGTTTCCATTGATCATCCTTGAGATGTTTCTACAGCTTGATTGGTAAATTCAATTGATTGGACATGATTTGGAAAAGCACACACCTGTCTATATAAGGTCCCACAGTTGACAGTGCATGTCAGAGCAAAAACCAAGCCATGAGGTCGAAGGAGCTCCGAGACACGATTGTATCGAGGCACAGATCTGGGGAAGGACGCCAAAACATTTCTGCAGCATTGAAGGTCCCCAAGAACACAGTGGCCTCGATCATTCTTAAATGGAAGAAGTCTGGAACCACCAAGACTAGTGCGGGCCGCCGGGCCAAACTTAGCAATCGGGGGAGAAGGGCCTTGGCGATGGCCACTCTGAAGGAGCTCCAGAGTTCCTCTGTGGAGATGGGATAATCATCCAGAAGGACAACCATCTCTGCAGCACTCTACCAATCAGTCACATGACAGCCTGCTTGGAGTTCGCCAAAAGGCACCTAAAGACTCTCAGACCATGAGAAACAAGATTCTCTGGTCTGATGAAACCAAGATTGAACTCTTTGGCCTGAATGCCAAGCGTCACGTCTGGAGGAAACCTGGCACCACCCCTACGTTGAAGCATGGTGGTGGCAGCATCATGCTGTGGGGATGTTTTTCAGCGGCAGGGACTGGGAGACTAGTCAGGATCGAGGGAAAGATGAACGGAGCAAAGTACAGAGAGATCCTTGATGAAAACCTGCTCCAAAGCACTCAGGACCTCAGACTGGGGCGAAGGTTCACCTTCCAACAGGACAACGACCGTTAGCACACAGCCAAGACAACACAGGAGTGGCTTCAGGACAACTCTCTGAATGTCCTTGAGTGGCCCAGCCAGAGATCCGATCAAACATCTCTGGAGAGACCTGGAAAATAGCTGTGCAGCAGCTTGAGAGGATCTGCAGAGAAGAATGGGAGAAACTCCCCAAATACAGGTGTGCCAAGCTTGTAGTGTCATACCCAAGAAGACTCAAGGCTGTAATCGCTGCCAATGGTACTTCAACAAAGTACTGAGTGAAGGGTCTGAATACTTATGTAAATGTCATATTTCAGCTTTTTATTTTTAATAACTTTGCAAAAAATTCTAAAAAACCTGTTTTTGCTTTGTCATTATGGGGTATTGTCTAGATTTATTAGGGGGAAAATGTTTTAATCAATTTTAGAATAAGGCTGTAACGTAACAAAATGTGCAAAAAGTCAAGGGGTCTGAATACTTTCCGAATGCACTGTATATGCTACCTACACACAGGGCTTGAAGAGAAATAAGACTGATAACAATGCATCTAGAAAAATGTTGCAGGGTAGTACAGCATTGGGATTTGGCCTCACCTTTTGTTGGCTGCAGCAGCAGCCTCATAACGCATCACACACAGCATTCTGTAGATCTGACGTAGAGTCAACTTAGGGGTATTGCATGCCAGACGCGGGTGGGGGTCATTACGAGGGCCACGGTAGGCAATGAGGGACATGTAACCACACTTGGGGCCCTTCCCAAACAGTTGGAGAGGCTGATGGAGAGTGCTGTTTCCATAACAGGAAGCAAACTGGAGGAGACATGGGGAGAGAAAAATACCAGTTTTTGCTAAGGATTCTGAAGCAACACAATGTCAACTCTATTTGCTGGATTTAAGTGCCAAAATAAAAACAAATTAGGACCCTAGTCATTCAAAACTTGTTTTCAAAAGCACTAAATAAAAAAAGTTCTGTTCATTTTAGTTTTACACAGTGAACATTGTTTCATTAATTTCATCATATTCACACAGTGCAAACTGTTTTGTCTCTGCCCAGAATTTCAGTAAACAGTTGAACAGTTCCAAAAAAAATCACCCTCTCCATCAAAAATCCAAGCCCAGCACAAACACAGACTCCAACTATCACTGGATCCTTCTATCTACCTCACAGTGAGATTCTAGATAACCAGATTATTTTACTTGACACCTGATCTTCATGGAGAACATTGGCTGAACTTCCTCACTCTGACTACCAGACAACCTAGTCTGCTACAGACACACAGCTGAACTGAAGCCCCTCCATGGGTACACAGACACATAGGAGTTTATCAACTGAGGCTCCTGTCCAACATTTCATATTTTTCCCTTTGTCTATTTAACATAATAACTATCATTTCATCAAAACTTTTCTACCGATCCAGTTCTGTTGAGGATCATTCATCAATTCCCACATTTTCACAAACCACTATTATCACCCAAACACAGAAATAAATACTCACAGGCACTACAGTTGCCATGGACTGAGATGGAGAGATGGAGAGACTGCTTGATCTGTTCAAAGTGCTGTGGTTCAGGTGGGAGGGTAACTTTGAGCCACTCTGCGGACATGCCACCTTCTTTTAGCTTTCTGAGACAGTGATGCTGAATAGGGTAGGGCCAATTACATTGCAGCCAATACAAAACAGACCTGCCCACTTCTGACATCACCTAGTGAGCTCACTGCTCTTTATGCACCCCCACTCCACACACAGAACACAGCAAAGAGGATGTCTCATGTTTCAGAAAAGTAGCACCACAAAGCTTTTAATTATTAAGAAAGCCTTTGTCCCTGTGGGTACATTTAGAAGCAGAGGGGTGTGAATTGAAGTGTAATTCTGGGAATGATGAGGGAGAAGAATAGGATGACAAGCTTAGTAGCAGGGGTGCATTGTGTCCTAATTTAATTGTTTGAATTGGGCCCCTGGTACTCATTTTTGACTTAGACCACATTAGAAGACTATTTCATTACTCTATGACCATTCACTTCTCAATAGCAGTCTTTTCAGCCCAGCGAGTGAGTTTATGAGCTGTAGTAACAAGTGACTCTGGTGTCGGATTACATTACATAGCCACGGCACTGAAAGCTGGAAAGTCCCGCCTATCTCCCGCTTATTTCATTCGCTGAAAGGCCTGTCACTTCTTGACAGAAAGGTACGCATACGCGCACAGCACTGTCAAACGAAGCACAACGCTGGAAATGTTTCCGCATCCACATAAACTTGTCCCGGCATGGTTCTTTGAAAAACACAGAAGTTTGTATATTAAATTCAATAGAAGAAAACAGAGAAAGAGGGAGAGCGAGAGACTGCCAGTTCCTTAATATAGCTAGTGGCTGTATTATGCAGCCAAAACATTAAGGAAATATATATACAGTACATTAACTGAATAACAACCAGCTTACTAACATTGACAAATGTGGAGTAATGTTTACTAAATGGTGAGCAAACAGTTTGTAAATGCCTTATAAATGGTTTATTATGGACCTAGGATGTTAGGTCCTCTGTAGCTCAGCTGGTAGAGCACGGCGCTTGTAACGCCAAGGGAGTGGGTTCGATCCCCGGGACCACCCATACACAAAACAAATAAAAATGTATGCACGCATGACTGTAAGTCGCTTTGAATAAAAGCGTCTGCTAAATGGCATATTATTATTATTATTATTATGTTGCTGGGCCCAGCACAGGCAGTATGGTCCCCTGGTCTTCTGGTCTCAGTTATGCTAGGCATAGCAGCACAGACAGCTCAGCTGCAGCAGTAGACTCTGTATTA